GTAATCTTTGGGAACCTATAAAAACTACACTCACTGTTTTTGCTATTATTAGCAAAATTAAATACGCAACATGTATTTCGCCGCTACGCACGCTGGCATCGTTTCAATGTACCCCTACCATGGTCACGCACGGAGCGAATACAATAACACCATCATTTCTGTTAAAGTTACGTCTACTATACTTGAGTTCGTATTCCTGTATTTGAAATATGTATATTGCAATGAAGGAGCTGTAAAGTTTTCGAAAATAATAATTTTAACATCAGATGTAAAATGATTTAAAAAACGATAAATTCATTTAAAGTTTTTTTGGACGCTTGGAATATTCATATGCATTAAATTAGATTAAATTAGATTAAATTCTACTGTTGTATTGATTGTTTAAGCTTTAACGTCATTGTTATTATAATCGCGTATAAATGGATCCATGTTCATACTTCAATAAATAGGTGTATTAGTATTAAAAATACACCTATTTATTAATGTAACCTAGAAAACTGACTTGACTTATGGATCTGGTTCTCAATAGACTAATATATTATTGCTACTAAAATATTTCTTAATTGAGATTGTCGTAGATAATAATTAAACATTTAAATACTAGTGCAATTGGCTCTCCCATTAAGTTAAATTGGTAATAATTTTATTTGTAATTATCCATATTCATTACTTGTCATTTTCTTAATGAAATATTTACTTAACTTATTTCTGTGACTTAATTCTAAAAGAAACAAAGTAAGAAAATGTAGCTACGAGATAGTAGGGCTTCGGAATTTTTGGCATTAACGATATTATCGAAACTGGCTATCTTTTTTAAATAAACTAAAAACATTCGCTATAATCGAGTTTTGGAAAACAAACTTTAAAAATATTGAAGTTGCGTGATGCAAGGATTTGTTATGTATCAATTGCGCACATAGTTAATTTCTAACATTGCTTACAATTTATTCTTCTTCCCCTAGTTCCGTCTCCACTAATGAAGGTTGGCTATAACCATTGCAAATGCATCTCTATCTACTGCTTTTCTTAAGAGCGTCTGTGTGTTTAACCGGGTCCAGTCCATAACCCCTTTTTCCTTCGATTTTACCCTTAATAATCAGCTGCAACAACTCGTACTTATTATTTCTAAGTATGTGCCCCAAATATGCTGTCTTTCGCCTTTTCTTCTTCTTTGGGTGCCGTATCCGTATTCAGACGTTGGCCGTCATCATGTTTACAATTTCCTGAAACCTTTCTCTGTCGGCTGCTGCGCGAAATAATTATTCTACTATAGAACCACACGATTCTCTGATATTACGCAGCCATGAAAGTTTCTTTCGACCAATCCATCTCTTTCCTTCCACTTTTCCTTGTATAAGTCGAAGTAGATGATATTTAGGTCCTCTAATTATATGGCCGAAGTATTCTGTTTTTCTCCTCTTTATGATGTTTATGAGCAGACGTTCTGAATTGATCATTTGAAGAACATCTTCATTGGAAGTGTGCGAAACCCACGATATCTTTAGGATTCGTCTATAGCACCACAATTTGAATGCTTCTAACTTGTTTAGCATTATGATTTTTAACGTCCATGTCTTAGAACCATACAATAGGATGGACCACACATAACATTTCAGAACCTTCTTACGAATATTCATCGACAGGTTTCTGTTGCATAAAACTGGTTACTACGTCATTTCGCCTTGTAATGGCGGTTAAAAGTTTTCTGTCATTTCCCATTTTGTGCAACACCATTTCGTTCGTATTAAGATCGGTCCATGGTATCTTCAAAATTCTCCTAAAAATCCACATCTCGAAAGCTTTCAGTTTTCTCATTAATTAACATTAACAGTCCAGGCTTTGACACCATAAAGAAGAATAGAGTGGATATATCATTTTACCATCCGATATCGGATTTTCAGATTCAGTCTTTGGTTACTCAAAAATTTCCTCATCTTTAAAAACGCTGCTCTTGATTACTATATTTTTGGGCGAATTTCTGATTTCGGATTCAGATCTTCCATAATCCAGACTCCTAGTATTTTGTCTTGTCCACTTGCCCAATATCTTCATTTTTTATCTAGATCCTTGTAATGACTTTGCTCCTCTTACTGAAAACCATGGTTTTTGTTTTCCTTATGTTTATTGTTAAACCAAACTGTTCCCCAGTATCACAAATTGTGTTTGGTAACGTCTGCATATCTGTCTTACTTTCAGCGATAATGACTGTATCGTCAGCATAACGGATGTTATTTGTATTTTCACCATTTATCTTGATCCCTTCTGTACAGTTTTGAAGTGCTAGTGTAAATAACTCTTCGAAAAATATATTAAATAGTAATAGTGAAAGTACACAGCTCTGTCTTACTCCTCTACTTATCTGTTGCGCATCCGTGCTATTTTCATCGAATGTTAGCACAGCCTGTTGGTTCTAATAGAGATTTCTCACTATATTAATGTCATTTTTGTCGAGTCCTTTTCTATTTAGTCATTCCATAAGAATGTTATGTTTAACTTTGTCGAAAGCTTTCTCATAGTCTATAAACGCAACGAAAAGATCTTTTAGTTGGTCTGTACATTTTTGGACAAGAGTTGTGAAACTACACAGAGCTTGCACTATTCCGAAGCCGTTACGAAAGCCAAACTCTCTATTACTCATGTCCGCTCCTCACTTCCGCAGCTCGACATGAACTTCATCTGGCCCAGCAGCTCTGCCAGATTTAGAGTTGTTTGTAGCATGTTGGAAACAGAAGGAAATATGGGAACAATATCTTAAAGATTTGTTTGGTAATCGGAGAGCAGAAGGGCCCCCACAAATAGATACCGATGGAAAACTAAGTATTCTAACCGAAGAAGTTATGCGGGCAATAAAAGACGCAAAGAACAACAAGGCACCCGGCGAAGATCTAACAACAGCCGAACATTTTAAACACCTGAGTGATGATGCTGTCGGGAAATTAACCTACCTCTTTAACATTATATATGAACATGGCACTCTACCGCATGACTGGCTAACATCCACATATGTAGCTCTTCCTAAAAAACAAAAAGCAAGGAAATGTGAAGACCATCGAACTGTATCCCTAATAAGTCATACTGCTAAGATTTTTATGCGAGTAATTTATAACTGCATTCACAATAAGTGTGAAGAATACCTGAGTCGTTCTGAATATGATTTTAGGAGAGGTACAGGCACCAGAGAAGCAATAATGGGATTGACACTAATGGCAGAAAGATATCTCGAGGTTCAAAAATTGCTGTATGTGTGATTTGTCGATTATAGAAAGGCCTTCGACCGCATTAGACACGAAAAATTGATTGAGGTGCTAAAAGAAGTAGGGCTGGACGGACACGACATAGCTATAATAAGCAATACAAACTGGAACCACACAGGATGTGTTCGAACAGACAACGGAAATACCAATTATTTAAACATAGAACGAGGAGTGCGTCAAGGGTGCATTCTGTCCGCTCTTCTATTTAATGTCTATGCCGAAAATATCATCAGAGCATCTCTTGAAGATCGCCCTGAAGGTGCCAGAGTCAATGGATTCATCATTAACAATGTAAGATATGCCGATGACACCGTAGTATTAGCAGAAACAGAAAACCAACTAAAAATATTGATGAACATACTATCAGAAGAAAGTCACAGACTAGTTTTGGATATTAATCTTTCCAAAACCAAAATCATGGTATTCCACCCATGAACAAATTACACCCAACATACAAATCAATGGTATCACCCTTCAGAGCTCTCAAAGCTTTATATACCTGGGCAGAGAGCTAAACAGTCAGCTAGAACACTTAAAAGAAATTAGAAGACGTATTGAAATAGCAAGATCTGGCTTCATGAACATGCGTAAAATGCTCTGTAACCCCAAGCTATCAATCACAATAAGGTTAAGAATACTAAAGTGTTATGTGTAGTCTCTACTACTATATGGCTGTGAGACCTGGACATTAAAACGGTATGACGTCAACAAACTGAATTCATTTGAAATGTGGATGTACCGCCGAATGCTAGGAATAAGCTGGACCAGCAAAACTACAAATGAAGAGGTACTGGAAATAATGAACACACGACCTCATCTAGTTAATACAATCAAAATTAGAAAGACGTCATATCTAGGACACATAATGCGTCATAAGGCATTTGAGCAGCTCCAGGTAATATTAGAAGGCAAAATCGAGGGTAAAAGAGGCAACAAGAAAGAAGAAATCCTGGCTCCGAAACATCAGAGATTGGACTCACACAACAGGAAATATCTTAATCCATCAAGCCCAGAACAGAGAGAAATTTGCCATATTGATTGCCAACCTCGATAGAGAAGGCACTTAGGAGGAAGAGGATAGCATGTTGGACTTTAGAGTTTAATGTTATTGGAGCTTCCTCATTATCAATTTGTGTTCCGTTCCGTTCCGTTCCGTTCTTGTGTCCATGAAAAGATCTTCAATATATTTGGTCCATACTTGTTTTATTTTAATTGGTTTATTAATAGGTTTATTGTTTTTATAAATTAATCGGTAAGGTGGATTTATTCGTGATTTTCCAGATAATTCTTTCACTTTTTTATGTAAATTATAATGATCATGCTTTTCCTGCAATTCTTCCACTCATGTTTCTTCATGTTTTCATCATCCACTTTTCCTTAGCCTCTTTTATTTTATTTGTTATTAATTTATGTTTTCCTCTATACTTATTTGGGTTTTCGTTTCTATATTTTCTTCTTTTTTCCGTGATTTCCAGTATTTCTTGAATCATCCAAGATTTTCGGCTTTCTGTTTTCTCTTGTAATTTCTCGCTGTGTTTTTATAACAGAATCTTTGATTTTGCTCCACATAATGTTCAAATTCTCAGTGTTTTTTCATTTTTGATATTAATTTCTTCATTTTTTATTTGATACAAGTTGAAGCCTCAGCACGGATTTCATTTATCTTGAGTAACTGAGTATTCATCTTAGAACTTTTGGATTTTATTACAATCTTTTTTACAATTTATTATTGATTTTTATTTTTAGATGAGATTTAAAAAGTAAACATGGTGACAACAGAAAACTGGTTTCAAAATTGGCATCCGCCAACTTCATTGTTCACAGAACAGCAGCCTTTACAACCGCTTCACTTTAAAAATGTCAGTCCTGAATACGACTATGGATACCAATTAACTCAAAGTAAGTAATAATAAATAAACATTAATTATGTATTAAATGTAAGAAGTAGTTATTTATGCAAACATGGACTAATTGATACATACAAAAACTTTTATTAAACTAGTATTAATGATTTAAAAAAGCAAGAAACAGACAAGAAGTTGAAGAGTTTTTCAGTTAGATGATATTTCCAATTACGCAAGTTAATTACGCTTCTTAATTTAGATGTACATGTCCTTTTTGTGATCATTTATGTATAGTATTGACATGTCTTATCAAAATTGTAAATACCTAATCGAAACCGAGAAATTCTTAATTGAAGAGCTAAGTGGAGAAAGGAGTTACGTCACAAATTAAAACTTTGGAGAAAACAGCAATAAACGGATTTTGTTTGGAATTTTTTAAATTGATTTTCGATTTCGATCTATTTTACTTGGTTAATGAGTATGTAAATTATATTTTTATTTAATTTATTTTGAAGTCAAAAAAACTTTTGAAATTTTTGTACATAACTAACAAGCCAGTAAAAATAATAAAAAGCTTAAAAAGTCTTGTACCGGTTTTAGAAGGTTCTAAAAGATATATGGGGGATAGTTAATGACAATAAATTTTCATATTATTACCAGATCTCTATAATCTTAATTTAAAAATATGTGCTGAATTTTACAAATGTTCAAAATGACCTCAATTTTCTAAAATACACATTCGACACCAAATCGATTTGCAGCTTCCATGATTATATTTCTTAGTTGTTGTTAGTTCACAATTGGTATAGAATATATGTACCCTTTCATAAAACCCCAGAAGCAAAATCAATTGGGCTAAGATCTGCACCTCTGGGTGGCCAAGAAATAGGCGCGTCAGGGCTCCTTTCAATCCAAGTTAGGATACAAATCAAAAATATATTCTCTTATTTTATTATGATTATGCGTTGGAGAGCCATCCTGTAAAAACCACATACTTCTTCTGACTGCGAGATTGACCTCATATAAAGTACTCTGATAATACGTTTTGTAGAAAGTGAAATTAATTTCCGCCGTTTAAATTAATTTGAAGAAATACTGGCCCGTAGGTTATTATCCACAATTCTTGTGCAAACATTTACTTTAAAATTTTTTTGATGATGAGAGACTTTTTTTACGGGGGGGGGGGGTTTCCTTTGACCCAGATGTGCGTGTTATGATATCTTCTCCAAGTCATCATATAAGAAACATCTAACTAAGAGGCTACTTCTCTTATACTGCTTTCAGGGATTTTTCCAATTGCTTCCAAAATCTCTTTATCGTTTTTATCTACTTTTGGTCGACCATTATTATCAACAAATTGCGGTTGCGATGTGCCTGTCTCTCGTAAATGACGATCAATGGAAAGAAATAATCGTCTGCCTGATGTATTTGTTAGGGCGAGCGCCCACCAAAGTGGCGTGGCAGTGGCAAGTAGCAAGTAGCACGCGTCTAGCATAACGTAACCAATGAAAACGAATGATTCAGTTTACACCAAAATGACAGTAACGTCATTCATTCTAATCATTCGTTTTCATTGGTTACATTATGCTAGACGCGTGCTACTTGCTACTTGCCACTGCCACGCCACTTTGGTGGGCGCTCTCCCTTAGGTTTGGGATCAGGGACTTCGTCCACTGTGCAAAATACACCGTTGCATCCCACTCCCGCTGCCCCAAGAGCAACGTGTGCGCTCGCTCTTCGGTTCCATTAGAGCGACTCCAATGGACGCGTTCCCTCTCTAGCACCATAAGGTACAGGGGAACACATCCCTGTGATCGCCCACAGGACCTCCCCAGGTCCCAAGTGGTAGGACGATGTTTCTGGGGCTGCGTAGATAACGGTCGAATGCACAACAACATGCATTACCCTCCTTTCGTGTTTAGGACCACAGATGTTGGCCATCAACCGGTTCAGCACAGCCACTCTCTGAGCGGCCTGTCTGTGGGACCACACGGACATGCGCCCCCACCGTCCGATTGTGTGGATGTTTACCCCCAAATACTTCAAAGAGGTTTTGGAGACTACATCCCCCTGGCGCAACGAAAGACCACTCGCGTCCTCACCCTAGAGCTTCTGAGGACAAACCCCTCGGTCTTCCTTGTCGCAAGCTCCAGATCATGATCGACTATCCAGTCGCTCATGACGTTTGAGGCCATGTATGAGCTTCTATGCAGGAGCTCGTTCTTATTCCGGGCCGTGACAAACACAGCGAGGTTATCCGCTAATGCGAAAGGGGTACAACCCTTATTATATACACGACGCATGACCCCGTCATATGCCGGACCCTCGACCACGAGCTTTCGCTCCGACAAGTAGTCCGCGACGATGTTCTTCAGATATTTTGGACAGTTCCGTCCACTCAAGGAGCTCATCAAAGCAAAACAAAGATATTAAGCAACAGCCTAGAAAACATCACTATAGATAACATCAATATAGAAAAGGTAGACCAATATATTGTTATGATATGTAAAATCAAGAAAATATCGGTTTGTTTAAAAATATTTCAAAGTTCAAATAATAAAGAATGAAAGTCCTTTTATCTTTGGATTACCTATATTGAACAAAAACGTAAGCTATGCATAAATTATTTTCTTTGTTAAATTATATTTGAGTGACGTGAGCGAACTTAAGACAATTGAACCGGGTTTTCCAAATACATTAGTGCAGTGATTAGGACAATAGAATAGTTTTAGAAAGATATGTTTTTGTTAGTTCTTAGGAATTGGTAGAAAAAGATTATTTTATAAAATAGTTTTAGGAAATTTTATAATTGTAGGTAAAAATTTGTGTGTTATCGAAATGAAGAAATGGGAGATGTATGAAGCGTTTTTATTGGATGAGATTGAAAAAAGGTGGGATGATTGGTTTCAGAATAAGACTTTAGTTAGTTTTTAAAACAAAAAAGATAGGCAGTTGGTTTCCAAGGGTAGAAGGCGAACGGCCGTTGTTCTCGGGTAGTTTCCCAGAGGTAGGAAGCAGTAGCAGTGAAAGTTTGTGAGTTTTCGTGTAGTTAGTGTATCTGACAGAAGCTGATACAGTAAAAGATTGTAAGTTATATTTTCTACTTATATTCCAAGAGTCACTGTTCAGGCCAACGAGAGATTCAGTTTATCGTAAAGAAAAGATATTCCAAGAGTCATTTTTCACTCAGGCCAATTAGAGATTCAGTTTATTGAGAGAAGAAGAAGCTAGCATAATTTGAACGATTCGTTCATTTGAAGGAGATCATTAAGGACGATAAACTTGCAATAATTTGTTGTAAGATTGCTGATTACCTAGGGAGCGGCTGAGAGTAGATAATATAGTCTACAAGGAACAAGGATTAGGACCACTCATCATCAAAGAGAGATAGTTTTGTTTTCTGCAGTTTTTCTTTTATTGATAACACAACTTTTACACTTAATTTAGAAAGGATATAAATATTTTGATTAGGAGATTTAGAATAATATTTGGGATTTTGAGATTTCAACTAATATTGTTTGTACCATTAATTTTGAAGGTTCACGTACGTAGAACAAAATTTTGAGAATCATTGTATGAGATTTTGTTTATTGAAAATTATTGAGTGTGAATTATTTCATTATTTTTATTTCAATATATAATGTTAGATCCTATATGTTTTTTATTATTCCGGTATTCTTTGGACCTTACTTTTCACATGTAAAGCATAGAGATAGAAGCACGAATATAACCCTGAGATAAGAGAATTAAAAATTGTGATAGAATCATAATCATATCATTTAAATAATTTAATTAATTAATTAATTAATTAGCTAATTTATTGCTTGGCGCACTAAGACTTTAAATATCACAATAATATATATCTAGGACATGCAATTAAAAACGAAAAGGAAAACCAAACCCTAGAAATTAAAAGGACACAATTGTCATGGGCTGCTTTTGGTAAAATGAGCTTTATTTTAAAAGACAAAAAAAATCCCAATTCACTTAAAACGAAAAACCTATGACACTTGTATACTACCAGTTGCAACTTATGGGTTGGAAACTATGGCAATAACAAGAAAAATGGCAGAACAATTAAGAGTAACTCTGCTCTGGGGACAGCTCTCCAGACCTCTCGATCACCTCTTCGATTCTTGCTCTCAACAATCTCTCGTACAACTTTCCGAGGCACGAAAGAAGGTAAATCGACCGGTGTTTCCCCCCGGTTTTTTGGGGATCAACACCAACTTTAAGAGTTTCCAAGACGCTGGAAAAATCTGACCGACAAACAGGTTCATGTGGCCCAGAAGTCAATCAGGCTCCAAACGTTCATAGTGCTTAACCACTTCAGGCGGTATCGCATCTGGCCCTGGAGCTTTTCCGGCCTTAAGGGCCGGACTGGCAACAGCGAGTTCCTCTAGGGAGAAGGGAACAATCCGTCCTGCATCCTCGGCCTCCTACTCCACCCCACATCAGGTTAGGTTAGGTTAGGTTGGGTTAGGTTAGGTTAGAATTATTTCTGGTCCCAGAATACGTGATTTATCTATGATCTACCTTTTTGTTACGCCCTGTATATATATTTTCTTTAATAGTTCGTTGTGTGGGATGTTTAATGATATAAATATACATAGATCAAATTTTATAGTAGATAAAATCTACATAACCGTATTTTTTAGTCATTGCATAATCAAGTCTTGTATTATCTGTAATCAATCTGCCGAGCCTACATGTCGATCGAACTAATAAACAAAATTTCATTTTTTATAACATCTAGTTATACCGTGTTGTGGCATAATATTCTAAGAGTAAGTTCTTATTGAAAGTATTAGGTGACATGTTTTCTACTTAAACTTCTCCTATATCTAAACTTTGCGAGGTGCTGTGTAGATTGGTTTGCATTTTCAGAGTTTTGCTTTACGTTTTTTAGAATAGTTGTTTTGTGTTTCTTAAGCAGTTTTTTTATATGAAGATAAATGTAGCTTCTTAAATCTGGTAAGTTAAATAGTGAACTTTTAGAACGTGTTAATCTGGTAATTTTACTGGCTAAATCGGATATTTTATCCAGTTGGTATTTTGCTTGTACAATATTGGTAGGATTTCTTTTTTCTTATTGAGCTTTAACTTAATCTTACAATAATTGGAATGTGATTCGATCCAGCTTTTGATTCAATATTGCCATACCCATAAAAAAAAACCCATGTAGTCTAGCAAATCTGAAATTATATTACTTGATTTGTTTTTCAATGAGTCGATAGAAACAGAAATAGAGTTATAATTACGTAGTTCAGTCTTTAGAATATGCGGTTTTTGGTAAAGTATTTGCACTCACTAATATAGAAAATTATTGGTCATACATTAATTAAATCACTGTTTTATTATGTTCATTTTATGATCTAAAATCTATTTACTAAATAATTGTTTTAGATTCTCCCAATGCTGGCCCAAATTCCTTTCTCACATATTTAGTTTCTCTAAGTATGGTCAAACCGCCAAGTTCTGATTACATAGACAATAGAGCATCTAAACATTTAACACATGGATATGGTAATAGAAACCAAGTACTTTCTTTAGAATCTACTGGTCCATTTAAAACATGGTATTACTGGAATATGCTGGATTTTGCTTACCCCAGTGAAACTGAAAGAAATATTGCCATACAGAATGGGGAATTTATTCCAAAAAACAATCTTCCATTAGGTAAGTTATATAATTTTTAGAATGCTGTACAGTAAAATGTAATTCAAGGTAATATTTGTTACAACCAACTAGGAGTAGTTATTAGCTGTTCGTTTTCTGTGTGTCCGGTTACCTATACTAGGTTACCTATTCAGCCCTATTGGTCAACACAATATCAGCAAGTGCATCCTTGCACTTAAGAACCAGCTTACAGATGACTTTAAGTGTTTCTAAAGCTCATAATGCTGCTTAACTGTAAGGGCAGGTAGAAATGGTCCTGCTATGGTAGAAAAAAAGGATCGCGAAGATCTCTGTCCAAAAGACTCGGGAGCCGAGAGCTCAACCAGATTCAAATCCGATTCCGCACCCAATTTAAATTAGTAGGCCATGCTGTCCTCTACCATAGAGAGCACATAGAAAGACAATAATCAAGGGCCTGTCTCCAAATCTCACAATGGCCCATTTGTTCAATTATTTCCAACCAGTATCCAGAGCAGTTTAAACGATAGGCTACCATCATGGCTTCGTGCTCTTTAATAAGATATAGAGGAGGTTAATCCAGCAGAGCCTCAAGAGTCAATTTGGAAATAGTCCTCATGTATGCCAACCGCTGAAATTGAGTCAACTGGACCTTAGCTGAAACTAGTCTACCTTACATGGATTGGTACATTCAATGTAAAATTTTTGGCTACAGACCTCATTTGGCTCCGACAACACGTCTGCACCTAGAAAGTTGCAGCGACCTTCTTCACCTTAGCGTCGAGATATTCCTATCATGGAAGTTTCAAATCCAAGATCATTCGTAAGAACTTCACGGACTTAGACGCTGATAAAGCTTTACCATAGACAGTGAGCTCTCATGTAGGTTAGCTGGCACTTCTTCGAGTAAACGAAATTACATCAGTCTTTATAGGAATGACCCAGCGTGACCTCTGGTCTGAACACGGAGATTCTTGTAAAAGGTTGAAAGAAAAACAGCTTCCAAGTTTATATAAACCTTCTATTACAGTTTTGGATAATGCCTCATACCATTCGGAAATTTTAAATAAGTAACTAACAAATTCTTGGAAAGTACATCAAATAAAAAAATGGTTAACGAATTAAAAAAATTTATTTCCTCAAAATTCTTTCAAGCCAAATTACTACAGTTGACCAAAAGGGATAAAAAACAAAAATCTTAAGACGAGATTATACAAAGTTTTGGACATAATGTGTTAAGACCGACCCCTTATAGATATTTAAGGTTCTTGAACTCCTAAGTGGAGCATAGAGCTTCAGTGAAAACGCGCCATCGGGTTCTATTTTGCGCTAAGGCCTTCACCCAAGACTTTCATTGGCCTCTTATCTCGTCCATGATGGATCTTCTCCAAGTTTGTACTGGGCGACCTCTTTTTCTTTTCCATTGGGGATTCCACTCTAGAGCAGTCTTTGCGATACTGGAACTAGTTTTTCGGAGTGTGTGACCGATCCAACCCCATTTTATGGACTTAATTTTATTTTGTACCCTCTTTTATTCGGTCAGGTGTAGTAGATCTTAGTTTCTGATGGTGTTAGGCCAGAATATACGGAAAACTCTTTGTAGACATTTGTTAACAAAGAACTGCAGTTTGTCTGTGAGGGTGTTTGTCACTTTCCAGGTTTCACATCCGTAGAGTAGAACAGACATGACATTTGATCGGAATATTCGGATCTTTGTCCTTGTAGTATATCCGCCAGATCTCCAAACAGGGTTGACCGTGCTGAAAGCCTGCATATCGTCTTCTGCACCTCCGTTTTCTGTTATGACACTTCCAAGATATGTAAAGTTTTCAACATTTTCAATCTGCATATTGTCGATAGTAAATAGCGTGTTGTTCCTTGCATTTATTCTCATGGACTTGGTTTTACTAATATTGATTTTTAAACCTATTTTATTGGCTTCAGTGGAAAGTGTTTCCAATTGGTAAGCTAGATATTGGAACGTCTGACCTAATAGGCAGATATCGTCCGCGTATTCTAGATCGCTTAGGCGTGTGGTTAACGTCCATTGTATCCCTTTTGTGTCGGAGTCTAGTTAGGTTAAAACAGTCTATAGCTATGGTAAAAAGAAACGGAGAAAGCACGCATCCCTGTCTAACTCCAGTAAGTACGTCGAATTCGTCACTGTTAATCTCATTGTGTGTCACGTTGCATTTCGCATCAGTATATAGTGACTTTATAATAGAAATTATTTTTTGGGGGAAATTTCTTAGCTCTAAAATTTTCCATACAGCAGCATGAGACAAGCTGGCAAAGGCACGTTCGAAATCAACAAAAACCGTGTATAGGGGTGTGTTCCATTCAACCGATTGTTCCATTATTACCCTCACAGTATTAATGTGGTCTAAGCAGGATGATTCTGGTCTAAAGCCTGCTTGATTAGCTCGAAACTCAACCTTGTAGCATCTCCTGAAAATGCTCTTTCCATCTCTCTACTTGGTCATCTGTTGTAGTAAGTAATTCGCCTGTCTTGGATCTTACAATGTTCGAACAGTTGGACCCATTTTTTGTTAGTCGTCTAGTAATTTGAAGACCGACCCCTTACCATTGTAAATTTAATTCCATTGATCATATTTGGAAAGCATACAAAACTTATTTCGATAAGTATATAGGACGTATCGGCTACAGTTCTCAACAGTTTTGGAAACATGGCAAGAAACATTAAATACTGCTAGTCCTGCAAGGAGGGAAAATGTGAGAAGTTAATATAAGAATGTTGGATGAGTGAAAATAGCATGGAAGTACTTAACCCATTCATTATTTAAAATATAAGGCTTTATATCGGTTCTTTGAGCGTTGGTTTCTTTCAGAATGGGTAGGATACTAACCTGGCCCATCAACTCCTTCTTTTATCCGGGCTTGAGACCGATCGTGGGCATGAATGAGCTACTCATTTTACACAGTCCTCGCGCTCATAGCCCCCAGAGAGAAGATGAGCTCCAAAGATTACCACACATCTGCAATACAAGATAAGAAACAAAAACAAAAATCTATAAATCAGCAATTAGACATATATTACCAAACACGGCAGAGACAAGACCTGACACATCTAAAACAAAACGACAACTAGAAATAACAGAGATGAAAATACTCCGACGAATATCAGGGAAAAGTATGTTGGATAGGAAGAGAAGAGAAAACATACGAAGAGCATGCAATATAGAAGATATAAATGGATGGGTGACAAAACGAAAACATGAGTGGAACGAACACATCAGTAGAATGGCAGAGAATAAAATAGTTCGAATAGCACGAGATAAATCACCAAATAACGAAGAAGTATTGGCAGACCAAGAAAAAGATGATGCGACAATTTAAACAATTTAGGAGGGTAATATTGAAAAAGAAACAGGCTTTAAAGTCTACATACAAGAAGGAAGAAGAATACGAAATTATTTACAATTCAATTGAAGATACCGGCGACAGTAATTATGAGTATGGATCTAATTATTGATTACATTGTAATGTGCATATTATGTTTTCATTTTCTTATTAAAAAATGTTAAGCATTATTGTTATTTTATTAGGAAATACCACTACAATTTAGAAATACATAATTGAATTTGTAATTTTCTTCTATTATTACACTAATAATTGTAATTTCTCTTAATGAATGTAAAATATTTTATCAAATACATTGATTACCAGTTTGTTTAGTATTGTTTTAAAAAAATATGGTTATTAATTAAATGATACCCTTTTAGGCGTGGAAGTATATGGAAACCGTATATTTGTATCTATGCCAAAATGGAAACCAGGTGTACCGGCAACTTTGGCAGTCATACCAAGAGTTCCAAAAGAGCCGTCACCAAAGTTAATACCTTATCCAAACTGGGAATGGCATACCACAGGTAGGATGACACTTTTTTTTCAAATCTAAAATACGGCGATTAAATGTATTTAAATATTTAAATATTATCATATGCGTAATAAAAGAAAGTGTAGTAATACTTCATGTTGTAATTTGCATAAATCGACTTTAATAAAAACAGTTATAGCCAAAAACCATGTTCGATGAAGTATTAACTGTTGAGTGAAGCAAAATATTCAGAATTACAAACAAAATTTAACGCAACGTAGAACAAAAGGTATTTAAACAAAGGTTTAGATATTAATCATATTTAAGAGGTTTTTTTTATTTTGCTTTAAACGAAGCTTAACAAAAACAAACACAATTAATTTTTTTTTATTGAGTTAATGCCTCGACAACTAAGATCATTGGCATGGTACAGTCAGGTACCTAGTGTAGTGTGTGTATGTGTAGAGTAATTGTCTTGATACGTAGCAAAGTCGACGTCATTGTCTTTGCTAAGAGACGCTAATTGTATCCGAACGTCTACGGTCCCTCCGGTGAGTACCGATCGCACAAGGATAGAAATTATTTTCATTCATTAATTTTTAATAAACGAAAATTTCTCCACCGAGATGAGATTCGAAGTCACGACCTTTAGGTTTAAAGGTAGGCGCTCTTAAGTCTGAGCCACAGAGGGGGTTATATGAAGTTTTAAAACTTAAAAAAAAAAATAGAAAAAAGGTAAAAAATTATTATATTGAAAAACACATATAACACAACAAAAGTTAATTTAAATAGAGAAATGAACTACTATCGTGACATTAACCGTGGACAACCGAAAATAAATATTTGCTTATATATCATATACTATTAAAATTGCTAAATTTATTCAGTTTTCAACAAATTTCCCTTTTGTGTGGATTTGTCTGTTGGAATAAACTCGTAACATGGTTCTCCACCTTCAATTAACCAAAGTGTTCCATTTGGTGCATATTTTAGCACCTTGATTGCTTCTTGAGCTACATGTTCGGGCCTAAAATATAAATAAAAATCTAATAACTTTAGATATTATTAATTTAAAACAAAAAATTAAAGCATCTAGGTCAAACTTCATTTTATCGGTATAAAAAACCATTTGGCACAATAAAACAAACAATTAACACAATTTTATCTTTAACACCATTTTTGATATCATAGAATATGTATTCAATTTAGAATTCTTAAATATAAATACTAAGAAGATTTAAATACTTACTTTTGTTTTGGCCATCTATCTTCTTGTAATCCTTGTTTCACATACTCATCGTACATTTGTCCAAAATTTCTCCCTCTAATATTCTGAATTAACGGAGTTAATGTCACTCCCGGACAGAGGGCCACGAATCTAACTTTTAGTTTATGATAAAAGTATGGAACACCCCAAGATTTAGTTAGAGCTGAGACTGCAGCCTTTGAGGAAGAGTAAACTGGAATATGAGGATAAAATTCGCAAGCTGCAGTTGAAGAAATATTGACGATAACAGCTTCCGGACCTTGCTTGAATTTAGGAAAGTAATCTTCTATAGCCAGCAGAATTCCCGTAATTGTCCCTTTCTAAAATACATTTTTCTAGCTTAGACAACAGACATTTAATAAGGAAAAATGTTGTATTTATACCACTAAAAATTAGGGTAACCAAAATTTAGGAGGCAATTTGTTTTACTTCTATAAAACCAATTTAAATATAATAAAAATAAAATAAAATAGTATAGTAATATAGTAAAATATATATAGTATGGTATAAAATAGTAAAATAGTAGAGTACAAGAAATTAAAGGTAAACAAACTAAAGATAGAAAGGAAGGGTAAAAATAACAGGGAAAAGATCAGAAGCATTTAATTGGAAGAGAGGTATTAAACAAGGAGATAGTCTCAGCCCTTTGCTATTTATAATAATAATGAACGAATTGATAAGAAACACTAGAGTCAGATCCAATCAACTACAGATAATAATAGGTTACCACAGATTACAACCGGTAACAATAGAGTCCTTAATGTATGCAGACGACATAGTACTAATAGCAGATTCCGAGAATAAAATGCAGAAACTAATGGATATATGAGTAGAACAAATAGAAGAAATAAAAATGGAGATAAACGAGGAAAAAAGTAAGATAATGATAATCAGCGACAAAGGAAATAAGGAAAATAATCAAAGATAAAATGTAAAAACACGGAATTGGAAATAGTAACAACTTACGAATACCTGGGAAGTATAATAACTAATGACGGAAAAATAGACAGGTAAATAACAAATGGAGCAAAGAAATCAAACAAGTTATACTATGCGTTAGCCCCAATAATGGGAAAAAGAGAACTTACACGAGAAACAAGAATCAAAATATAAAACACAATAGTGATACCGACTGTGCTCTATGCAAGTGAAAACTGGACAATTCTAGAAAAACAAGAGCAGGATAAACGTAATGGAGATGAGACATCTAAGAAGGATAGTTGGAAAGACAAAATCGGATAGATTAAACAACGAGACTATTAGGAGAATGTCCAACCAGGAACCGACAATTAACAAAATAGTAAAGAGACAAATGAACTGGTATGGGCATCTGATGAGGATGCAATCCAATAAAACAACAAGATAAGTTTATGAAGAAAAAAACATCGGAAAAAGAAAAAGAGGCAGATCAAGAAAAAAAGTAGTAGAGGCGGGAAAACAAACAAAAATCACTCAAGGAATTGAAAATAATGGCAGGAAACAGAAGAGAATGGAAGAGGTGGGTAAATGGAAATTAAAATAGCTAGCCCAAATCCCTGATAGGGTAAAATAAAGGGGAGAAAGAAAGAAAGAAAATAAAATAGATTGTGGAAATTACATTTGGTACATTGATTACATTTAAAATTTGGTACATTCTATTCTAAAATCAGAAGTGGAGAATGCTATAAAGGGATTTAACATAACAAAAGACCAGGCAACGATAACGTATACGGGGAAGTATTGAAAATGCTGTGCGAAACAAACAGTCAATTTCTAGACTCACTCGTCAGACTCTTTAACAATATTTATAACAGCGGGGAGTTTCCTGAAGACTGGCTAGAGTCAACTTTTGTTGCCATACCGAAAAAACCAAAAGCAAAGTCTTGTGATCAACATCGGATGATAAGTCTAATTAACCACATTTCGAAGGCATACACCAAGGTTATTTACAACAGAATAAGCAAAAAATGCGAGGATAACATTGGAGATTCGCAGTTTGGGTTTCGGAATTCTCTTGGGACAAGAGAAGAACTTTTTAGTCTACAGGTACTCATCCAGCGCTGCAGAGATATGAACAAAGACGTGTACATATGCTTTATAGACTACGCAAAAGTATTCGATAACGTAAAGCACGAAAAGATAATTGAAGTTCTCCATAAGATCGGAGTCGACTACAGAGACATTCGAACAATAGCGAGTCTCTATTGGGGTCAAACAGCTAAAGTGAAAGTAGGATCTACATTGACCAATAAAATTAAGATCAAAAAAGGGGTACGACAGGGCTGTATCTTGTCTCCAATTCTCTTTAATATATACTCAAAAGAAGTAGGAACTTGGGAACAACAGTTAACTCAAATTGGGATCAAGCGAAGGAAATACTATAAGAGTAGAAAAGGCAAGAGTATAGTTCACTAGCATGAAGCAAATTTTCACCTCTAAAAGCCTCACCCTACCTCTCAAAATTCGACTTCTGAAATGTTATGTATTCCCGGTTTTGTTATATGGAATGGAGGCGTGGACAATGACCGCAACATTGATGAAAAAAGTTGAAGCCTTCGAAATGTGGGCTTACCGACGTATATTACGTATATCCTGGACTGAGCATGTGACCAACGAAGAGGTACTAAGCCGGATAGGTAAAGAGAGAGAGGTAGGAATAAGTCTAAAGAAAAGAAAGTTGGAATACTTGGGTCACGTTATGAAACATAATAAATATAGAGTACTACAGCTGATCGTTCAAGGGAAAATAGACAGCAGAAGGGGTCCAGAGAGGAGAAGACACTCGTGGCTCCAAAACATGCGGCAATGGTTCGGATTGTTATCTGCTGAACTATTCAGATCTGCCGTAAACAAAGTCAGAATAGCCATGTTGATTGCCAACGTTCGGAACGGACAAGGCACATGAAGAAGAAGACATTTCCAACACTCTGGCCTTGTAAATAAATTTTTCTATCTTTAAACTAACGGAAAGCCTTAACTGTCATAATTTAAACTTAAAATGTTGACTACCAATCTTCACAACTTTAAAAATAGTTTACTTACAACATTGATATCCAATTCTTTCTCCCATGTAGAATCATTTAAAATACCAGCATTGTTAAATAAAATATCGATATATTTGAAGGTTTCCACAGTCTTCTTAAAAGCACCTAAAAATAATTTTTCAAAATAAATATAATAAAATTGCTTCTGTATTAAAAACTATTAATCATTATTTTATTACGAATTCAAATGCCTTTACTCTGAATTTATAATTTTATGTTCAATATTTATGTCTCTATCGATATCCGTACTTTCGGTATTGTCTAGGCTATTCAATCCTTTTAATTTCGCAATACCTTTGCATCATCATAACTCTGGCCATTGATTATAAACCACTACCTAGTGGTTTATAATCAATGTAGTGGTTTATAATCAATGCTCTGGCTTTATAACCCTGCTTGCCTCCTTAAGAACTTCTCTCCAGTAGTCTTCATCCATCTTATCAAGAAACCTTGTTCTGGGTATTCCTCTTCTTCTCTGACTAATGGGTCTCTCATAAAGCGTTTTTCTATCTGGGTCATTTTGTTCCATCTGCATTACACGCCCTTTCCACCTCAAACGTCCTATCTTATTATGTTTTACAATATCAGGGTCCTGGCATATTCTATAAAGTTCAAAGTTATATCGTCTTCTCCATACTGCATTGTCATTTACTTGATGTTATCTTAATGTTATCAAGAAACCTTGTTCTATTTAGAAACAAGATCTGAAAATTATTAGAAATCTTTACTGGAATCAGACAGCAAATCCCAGAGTTGAAGGTGAACACACTAATTATGTGAAAATTATGCGTGGAGTAAGGCACGGTTGTATTTTGTCTCCTCTAAACTTCAATCTGTACTCTAAAAGAATATTTATCTAAGCTTTGCACGAAACTAAAGAAGGTATTCTACTAAATGGTTAACGGCTAAACAACATCAGATATGCAGATAACACCATAGTATTTGCGGACAACTTAGAAGACTTACAAGTTCTTATGAACAAAATCACGTATTACAGTCAACAATATGGACTCAATATAAACGTAATAAGACAAAGCTTATGATAATTATCAAGAAAAGGATAACATAAGGTCAACTCGACGTCTACCAATCCCCTGTAGACAGAGCAACGAACTACAACTACCTCGGCATTATAATAGATAAAGAATGGACCAACAACCACGAGATTAGAGCAAGCATCGGAAAATCTAGATCCACCTTCAATCGGATGGGGCCTTCTTTAAGAGTCACAACCTCTCTCTTAATAGAAAAGTAAGAATGCTGCGATGCTACATCTTTTCTGTCCTTTTTAATGGTGTTGAATGAACGAAAAACTAATAAGATACCGTGGACTGACCAAGTCACAAATGAGAAGGTCCTCAAAAGAATAAATAAGAACCAAGTGGTACTGACCACTATCAAATCTCGAAAGTTACAATTCTTCGGACATATTATGCGAAATGAATCTAGATATTCTCTTCTTTAAGCCATCCTGCAAGGAAACTATTTGGAAAACGAGGTCCAGCAATAAGAAGAACATCTTGCTTAAAGAACCTTAGAATGTGGTTCAATACAACATTTGTGCAGCTTTTCCGCGTTGCTGCAGATAAGATAAAGACTGCCATGATGATTGCCAACATTTTTAAAGGTTAGGCACATCAAGAAGTAGAAGACTACATACGTTAGGTAATGATTTTTTCCTATTTTGGTAATTTTTCTGTTATTTCGGATCAAACTGCATCGGCGAGGGTGACGATGTGACACTGCATTGGCGCCACCTGCCAGTTAGTACAGACTTCATTTTTTTTGCTTTTTCGCTTGCCTCGATTGTTTGTAAAATAAATATGATAAATTTCTCATAAGATCACAGCCTTTAACAGCTGGTACGACTGTCAATAGGGTAGTGGTGAATCAATCACGAAGAAAAATAGACATTACTACGATTTAAAATACGGATTTAATGTGTAATGTGTAATTTGCGGCGATATTTGATCACGTGAGAGTCCAAAGCTTATGTTGGATCTCACAACTATCAAAAAGAAGCTGATAAGCTGTTGGATTTCTTTGAACGAAAGTTGAAAGCTAATCATCAGCAAAATAATATAAATCAGATAAGTCATAATATAATAATGATTCCTAGTCTCCCCAAAGTGTTTTTAATACCCTCAATGTACTTAAACGATAAAATCCTTCTTCTTCTTCTTGCACTTTTGAAACTGCTGCTTGCCAGTGCATTTCTGTGCATTCGTCGTCTGTTTCGTTTTTTTTGCAGATTTTGGCCTAATCCTGAATTCGATTTCCGATTTATATTCTAGTTAGTAAGATGGCTGCCTAATAACTAGATGGTATTTATTGAAACTTTTTATACTAAATAACTGTTTTAATTCTGATCTTCCAAATAGTACATTTATTTAAAATTAATAGTTTATACTCACCGTCAAACTGTTGCCGATCCGTTACATCTGTCTGTACAAATATTGCCTTATTGGGTCCAAATTCCTTTTCAAGCTCCTCCAAAGCACTTGCACCAGCAGATGGATTTACATCAGCCAAAGTGACGCCCTAAAAGTGTTTCATTTAAAGTTATTTAGATGTTATTAGGTATTTTTTGCGGAACATGCGTGAAAAACTAACTTCAGAATTTGTTAGTATTCTAAAACTAAAGTGAAACAGACCTTATAGAAAAATGTGCTGACAGTTCTGCGAAAGGATCACCAATTTAACCCCACAATGTGAGTAAATAAGAGAATATTATAGTGACCTCTACAGCTCTAAAAACAGTCTACCTGATACAACTCAATAAAACCTGAAAAAGAAAATAATGAATGTAAACTCTAAAATATTACCCCCCGTAACCGGAAAATAAATAGAAAAAGGAATTAGAGATATGAAAAGTAATAAGGTTCCGGAAGACGATGAAATTCTAATTGGAATGTTAAAAGAAGGAGGGGAATAGACAAAAGACTACATAAAGATACTTATGTCAATAAATGTTTGTTTGAAGGACAAATACCGCAAGAGTGGAACAAGGCAAATACAATTCTGATATATAAGAAAGGTAATAGATCAAAGTTAGCTAACTATAGACCAATATCTCTCTTGTCACGAATCTATAAAACTTTCACTAAGGTGATCACAACTAGACTAAACAACAAATTTGATGCATACCAACCAGTTGAGCAGGCAGGATTTAGAAAGGAGTACAGCACAACCGACCACCTTCACACTTTTAAAATATTGATAGAAAAGACCAACGAATACAACCTTCCAATATACCTAGCGTTTGTTGACTATGAAAAAGCGTTTGATAGCATAGACCTAGGGGCGCTAGTTAATTGCCGAATAGATCCCCGGTACAGAATGTTAATCCACAATATATATCAAAATGCCACTATGAGAATTCAGCTAGACAGAGATTTGTAAACTCCATTAATTAGAATTTGTAGAGGTGTCACACAAGGGGATACAATCTCACCCAAACTATTTTCTCTGGCGTTGGAAGACATTTTTAAATCTATAGACTGGGACAATAAAGGGATTTGTATAAACGGAAAATATTTAAATCATCTAAGATTCGCCGATGATGGACTCCTGATAGCAACAACTATGGAATAACTACGAATAATGATTTCAGACCAAGAAAAAAACATCTCTTGAGAAAGGACTAAAAATGAATCTAAAGAAAACTAAAATAATGACTAATACAGAAGACAGAAGTAATTACCATAGGTGGAACAAACAGAAAGCACGTCCAAGAATATATTAACTTAGGACAAGCTATCAGAGCAGACAAAAGTAACCAGACTAAAGAAATAACCAGAAGAATAAGAATGAGGTGGTATTCGGAAAACTCTTATATACTATCAAAAACCAAAAAATACCTTTAAAATTAAGAACTAAGGTATTTAATGCATGCGTTCTACCTGTTCTGACATTTCTTACTTCCCCTCGTATTGCCTTCCCTGCTGATATTTCATAAAAATACATACCCCCAGCATTTGGCATTTTTTTTTTGTTTGTCTTGTAGTGGTCAGATCTCTATTGTACCAAATCTAAGAGTGTATAAACAAAATGTTGTTATTAAGGAGTTACTCCCATATTTGTACATTTATTTTCACGATACAGAAGTACTGGTACCAAATGGACTTTACCGAACCAAGTGATTCATAGAGAAGGCCAGAAGAAACATTGTTCTAAAATATGGAACACGCTAACTACCAATGACTAAAAGAAAGTGTAGTTATATTCTACTAGTACTGTTACTAATACTACTACTAATAATAAAAAATTGTACATGTAAAGTGTAGACTTAATTTTTATATTAATGGAAAATCAATCTATATCCTTTATGCTAGATCAAATCAAAAAAATTACCTGTAAACCGTTTCGTAACAATTCTTTTGCATAGTGAAGACCAAGTCCTGAAGCTCCTCCGGTGATTAAAGCAATTTTTCCACTTATATCGAAAACCATGTTGAAAACCTATTAGCTAGAATTTAAGAGACATATAACTGTATTATCATGCAGAAGTTTTACCTCTGATTTTATTAAACTAAGTTTGTAAACACACAAATAATGAAAAAAAATATATAAATGATAACCTAATTGATCTTTTCTGACCCTTAAAGCTATATCGTAATGTAGATAAAATAATAATAGTACGAGATCCCACTGCAAGATCACTACGTTCATAACGTTATTAATTAATATCACATTTTTACGTGCACTTAAAATTAGGAGAACATATTGATATTAGAATACCAGTTGCCAGAAAAGAGGCCACAAATAGTTTTAATTAAACTAACGGTAATTCATTTTTTAACAAAAATTTCTTTTATTTAAATTTTTATCGTTTATTTTTGAGAACGATTTCCGAAGTGGAAATTGAAACGTCAATAAACGTAATTTAACCTTTAATTCTGGCTTATTCCCAGTTAAATAGTAATTAAGATGCAATACAACTGAATAATAACTCCAGATTTGAAGTGTGTGTTGGAGACAGAAGGAATGGCATTATTTGCAGGAAAATGAGAGTTTTCGTCCCGACTATTTAAAAAAAAATCAAATTTCCTGCGACTGTCCAGAACTAGACAGTGTGTTGTCTAAAGGTATTGAAAGGTTGCATTTTATCGATGGGATTTTAAATACCAACAAACATTTGAAGATTTTAGAAGAATCTTTTTTACCGATTAGGAAAAAAGTTTAACATCAATTGAAGATTTTGTCTTCCAACAGGATGGCGCAGGTAACCATAATTAAAAAAGACTTTAAACGGATTGGAGAGTGTATTGAAGACCATAGTATACCACTTCTGGAAAGGGGTTCTAACAGTCCCGGCTTGTTCCTGTATATTCCCTGATAGAAACTATGTCGCCAAATAAAAAAGCATTGTATATGTAATTACAAATAATTGGATGTAAATCAGTGGTAAACTATCACATTTTTTTTGTGATATTACATATTCTATGCTTTTTTTCTTGTTATTTGTGTTTAATTAGCTCATTAATTTAAAATATATTTTCCATAATTATGGAATTCCAAAAAGGTTATTAAATGAATGTAAACTTACAAGTAAGGCGAAATCTGTTTTGAATTGGACATTTTTCATAGCAGTCTATTTTTTTACCGGAACCATTTCATGATGTACCGTGTGTCAATAATCAAAATATGTGCTTGTCGCAAACCTTTATTTTTAATTTAATAAAATCTGAAAAAAAAAAAAAATAGAAAATATGTGCTATTTACACCCATATTTTCGCCCATAACTCGGGGAATATTGCTCCTACAAAAAAATTATACAAAGTAAATGTTTTGTTTTTAAATTTTAAATACTCGACTATAGTCTATTTTTATGTATGAGAGAGTACTAAAACAATAAATTATGTATGCAAATCCCTAAACTGTTGATACGGGTGACTCAATGAAAAACAGATATTTGTCAACAAGTTTACAGAAGTATATAGGAAAATAATTTTAAATTGAGTATGACCACCAGGTATAAAGGTTGGAGCAGAATAGAATACAATAGTTGTGAGGGTTAGTTATCCCTAAATAAGGTTGCCAGTGATGGAGGTTAACAGGTACTAATGAATTTGCAAGAAATGTAAGATGTTTATTTTATTGGTTATATATAACCAATAAAAGTTTAATAAGTACCTACCTATTTGCAAAATAAAGTTTAATTCTTTAGATAAAATAAAACGTTTTATTTTATCTGAAATGAGTGCATTCCACGAAGTAAGGGTTTCAACAATCAAACATTTAATTCTTTAATTCCAGGAATCTAGATAATTACCTTTTAAACTTATTCCACAGAAAATGTGATAGTGGGTTTTTCCATTTTGTAGGAAGGTCCAAGTGGCGTATTCAAAATTCTTAACAGTTCACTAAAAGTAGGTACTTCAGTTGCAAGGTGCAGTTTATTGTGTATACTAGTGTTATGGAAAATTTGGAAGTGCCGTGTAAACGCCGAAAAATTGGTCCTTTAACAGTCAATGAAAAAACATTAATATTTAATTGTTTTAAATCATTTACAGACAAACGTTTATGTGAAAGTGTTGATGAGACCGTTGAGTTAGTTAGCAGTACACTTGGTGTTGGGAAATCTACGATTTACAGAGCTATTAAAGAAGAGAAATGTGGTAGTTTTCAAATGCCACGTAATGCTCCAGGGAAACCAAAATTTCAAATAGAATATCATTTTAAAGAAGGACTTCGACGGAAAGTGCATGAATTCTTCTTTAGACAAGAATTTCCAACATTGGATAAAGTTCTTGTCTCAGTTCAAAATGATAAGGATTACCCAGAAATGAGTCGAAGTACGTTATGGAAACTTTTAAAAGAAATAGGCTTCCGCTGGAAAAATAATCCCAAAAAGTCTATTTTATTAGAAAGAAGCGATATTGTCATATGGAGAAGACATTTTCTAAGAACCATAAAGGAAATGAGAAACCAAAAAAGAAAAATATTTTATCTTGATGAACCATGGATCAACGAGGGTCATACACCAAATAAATTTTGGCAGGATGAAACTGTTACAAGTCAAAGGCACGCTTTTGTAAATAACTTATCTACTGGTTTAAACCCACCATCAGGAAAGGGACGCAGGCTGATAATAGTACACATTGGCAGTTCAGACGGTTTTGTTGAAGGTGGTTTATTAACTTTTGAATCAACTCGTACCGGTGACTACCATGAAGACATGAACGCTGATGTCTTTCAAGAATGGTTCGAACAAATGATAGATCTTCTTCCTAAGAACTGTGTAATGGTATTGGATAATGCAAGTTATCACTCCAGACTTATAGAAGGACTGCCCACAACCAAGTGGTTAAAAAAAGACTTGCAGAATTGGCTGAGTTCAAAAAATATTACGTACCATCCCGGATCTATAAGAAAGAAACTTTATTCGTTGTGTGCCCTTTATAAAGAAATATTTAAAAAATACGAAATTGATGAAATTGCCAAAAATCGTGGAATGACAGTACTTAGATCCCCACCGTATCATTGTGAATTAAACCCGATTGAACTGGTATGGGCACAGATAAAGAGTGAAGTTTCAAGACAAAATACCACTTTTAAAATTCATGATGTTAAATAGTTGTTTTTGGAGGCCGTAAATAATTTAAAACCTGAAAACTGGGAAAAGGCAGTAAATCACACTATTAAAGAATAGGAAAAAATGTGGAAGCTGGACAATATTACTGATAAAATGATCGAGCCAGTTATTATAAATCTTGGTTCTGAAAGTTCATCTTCTGAATCTGATTTGGATTTGTAACAAGTAGCTGTAAGTTTTATATTAATATTTTTATTCATCTATTTAACATACCTTAGACGGTTTTAAAAACGCTTTTTCTCTTTTGTAATTTTTAAAAATTAAAAAAACTGTGAATTTTTTAAAACCCTTTTTAATGTAGGCCAGTCAGTTCTAATATAGTGTGTGATAAAAGAGGTCACTTTTGTTTACATACACATAACATTTTATAACACTGAAATAATTCATTTATTTTTACAATTACTCAAAGTAATTTTTCAATTAATCTTGAGCACGCCCATGGAGTGGCCGGAGGTACCAGTTAAAATTATGCTAATTACTCTCTCGTTCATAAAAATAAACTATAGTCATGAATTAAAAATGTGTTTATTGTTAAAAAAATAGCAATAATTGGGAAAAAAGTGCAAAAAAATTAATTTTTCCTTAAAATTTTTTTCGATCCCTAAACATACTTACAGCTTTTATATTTCGTCTAGAAAAACTTTCAAATACGACTGAAACGTGTGATAAATTCAGTTGGGATGAGTTGACGAATTGAGTTTTTGCATTAGAATTCTACAATCCAGGTTCCGCAAAAAAATGTAAATTTGCAAAATTATGCTAGGACCAAAATAAGAACTTTAAACAGTCGATTTTTTTAATATGTAGAGAAAAACTCAAGCTTTAATTTTTAAACAATAAAAACGAAGTTTTTAGCTAGTCAAATATTGTGTAAAATTGAAAAATGGAAACTTTTACCTTATATTTCTGTTGTAAGAGTAATATCCCCTGAGATATAGGCAAAAATATGGGAGCAAAAAACAAAAATTTTCGAGTTTTTTTTCAGACATTTTCTTAATAAAAAATAAAGCATAGGTTTAAAATAAAGCAATCAACGTTTGCTACTGGTGTCGCAATTCCAGTAAAAAAATAAACTCCTATGAAAAATTTCCATCATAGTTTGTTTTTCGACAGATTTCGCTTGGATTAAAATTATTTTTTGGGGCTTCAACATAATAAGTACTTAATAAAAAGCTGTTTATAATAAATGATAACTAAACACATTACCTCAGAGAGTTATAATAAAAGTTGATTAAAATATCTATTGTACATGAATGTTGTGCTTAAACTTCTTATGAAATAATAAAAAGTACTTAACACCAAATAAAATATTTGTGATAAATGTAAAATAATAATGATATTTTAAAAACAAACAAGATCAACAAGTATTTTTAAACTCATACCAATAAGTGGTCACAGCTTTTCAAAGGTCACTACCTCACATTGGCAAGCAAACTGCGTACTAAAGCTAATTGAATATCGTCAAATTAGATTCGATCAGAAGAGACATTTTGGTCCGACCGGTCTATGACCTTACTTGATAGTAAGACAGGCAAGCGATACTGAGCTTAAGAAATATCAGTACGTTTTATTTAATCAAAAATAGTTGAAAAAAAATAAAAATATTTCTATTTGCAGTCTTATTTTATGATGTGGTAGCGCACAAAGGGCTGACAGCAATTCCTATTTTCTTGATTTGAATGAATTGTCTTCTCATCTTTATTAATCTAATTTCGTTCCATTTTTCCTTGATCTTCTGTTATTGCTTGTTGCCTATTCTAGATTCCTTACTGACATTGTTTTATCGATATAATAAACATCAATTTCTTCGACGTTATTATTTTATAATTTTCTTAGGAGAAATCGATTCAAATATTCTTTGTGGGCATCTTCAAAACTGCTTTTGATGCCTTTTCTTAATCTCCTCGTCTATATCATATCATAGTTATCATATCTGTATACGTATACGTAAATGTATATCCCGGCCACGGTATTGTGGGGTATCACATACCCCACGAGAATTTAAAACGCCCGCGTTTGCGCAACTTGAAACATCAAACAGTTAAACCCCGCCTACCTTCTAATTAGGTTATATACTGTCTTCAGCAGTTTGTTCGCGACCGTCGAGTGAAGCAGTAGTAAAATATTTTCGTGTAAACAGCGTTGGGGTGTTGTATACCCCACCATACCGGTAGTGTTATATATTTTTTAAGGTAATGTATTGAAATTTATTGTATATTTGCAGGGTTTTAGTGATATTTTATTACAGAATGTCTTATGAATAAGAACAAAGAAGGCTCCTGCAATTGTGGGAAGAATCACAAGATGAACACGTAATTGGTTCAGAATATGAGGGAGAACTTCCCGATCATATCAGCGAAAATTCAATGTCAGAATCAGATTCTCAAATTGTGGATCCAGAAGTGCCTGAAGCAATGACAGAAAACATATCCACCAACTCAGCAATAGACGATGAATCCTCAAATACAAGAGAATATTTTATAGGACGTGATGGAAAAACTAAGTGGTCAAAATCTTGTGGTAACCTCAAAGTACGCACACGACGCGAGAATATCGTAAGCCATCTTCCGGGACCAAAGGGCGTTTCTCGAAATGCGAAAACTCCTCTTGAGTGTTTTAATTTATTTTTGAACGATATGATGTTGGCAGATATTGTAAAGTATACGAATCTGAATATGGGTCAGAAAGCAACAGCTTATAACAAGAATATGCAATATCTCGTAAAACCAACAACAATACAAGAAATGAAGGCGGTGCTTGGATTCCTGTATTTGGCTGGTGTATTACGTGCCAATAGCATGAATTTAGAAGATTTATGGAGTACTGATGGCTTAGGCGTAGATATTTTTAGAACAACCACGTCACTGAAACGTTTTATGTTCATTATATCTTCCATGCGATTTGATAATAAAGAGTCCAGAAATGAAAGACGGCAGTTAGATAAATTTGCCCCTTTTCGAGTAATGTTTGATCTTTTTACCGAAAATTGCAAAGCTTACTATATTCCTGGAGAGTCCATCACAGCGCGGGCGATGCCCGTTCACGAAATACATGCCAAATAAACCGGCAAAATACGGCTTGAAAATTTTTGCCGTTGTAGATGCGAGAACATTTTACCTGTTTAATATGGAGGCGTACCTCGGAAAACAACCCGAAGGTCCGTTTCAAATAAATAACAAACCAGAAGACATTGTTAGATTAATAGCACCCATAAGTGGCACTGTCAGAAACGTTACTTTTGACAATTGGTTTGCCAGTTGTCCTCTGCTATACACATTACTAAAAGAGCATCGATTGACAGCTGTCTGCACCTTACGTAAACATAAAAGGGAGCTTCCTCCTGTCTTTGTTCAGACAAAGAAGAGACCTGAACGGAGTTCACTCTTCGGTTTTACGCATGATGTAACATTGCTGTCATACATCCCTCGGAGAGGAAAGAATGTTTTACTTCTTTCTTCCCTCCACCATGATGACAAAATAGATCCAGCCACTGGCGAAGCTGAAAAACCAGAGATGATTAGTTTTTACAACTTCACTAAAGGAGGAGTAGACGTGGTGGACGAGCTTAGTGGTACCTATAGTGTGAGTAGAAATATAGGAGACGCTAGCCATGTTTTATTCATTGCTGAATAAGCTGGAATTAATGCTATGGTAATTTTTAATGCAAACAATCCTGTGGATAAACGGATGGAGGGACTTTTTTTCTTGAAAGAGTTGAGACTATCTTTGATTACAGACCACCTTCATGAGAGGGAAGAAAATTCAAAATTACCCTGAGTGTTGAGAAAGAAAATAATAACATCATCAAAGAAGCACAAGAACGAAGATGAACCTCAGCCATCAACGTCCAAACAAAGAAAAGGACTGGGAAAATGTTGTATCTGTCCACGGTCAAAAGATAGAAAATCTTATCTAACTTGTTCTGCTTGTGAGCAGTGGGTTTTTATGTTACAAGCAGCTTTTATATACGTTTAGTGTCCAAGTTAAGATTACTCTAGTATTATCGGTAAATTTTTATCATATTCTGATATGTTTTGTAATACTAAATCTCCTTTCATGCTCAACTTTGTTTTAATAATATAAATAATACATTGATTCAGGTAATTTTGTTGTATATAAAAGAATATAATAAATATTCAAACGAGGTATCTCATACCTCACCATACCATACATGTTGTAATTTTCGACCATACTGGCGCCGGGATATGTACTAGAAGCGCAAAAAGGAAGACCATTATTGAAAATGAGACTCGAAGAAAGAAAAATATATTATTTTGGAAGATGCTAAATTGATTTCTTTTAAAACAGTTCTTATTGCATAGCAGGTGAAGGCTAGTTTCTTACTTAACAAATCGATATGAAGGGACCATTTAAAAATTCTGTTGATAAAAATTTTACAGAATCAACGATACTGATCTGGCTGTTTTTAAGAAGAACAGGTTAATGAGCTCCTTTATAGAGTAATGGTACTGTATTATCCACGTTAAAGGAAAGTAAATTAGAGTCGGATCAGGTTTTTATTTTAAGATCAGTTATAGTTGCATGAAGAGTTGCAAATTTAGTTTTTCCAGGTCATATTGGTCTTCTTCTTCTTCAAGTGCCCTGTCCGTTGCGAACGTTGGCTATTAACATGGCAATTTTGATCTTGTTTGCGGTGCTTCTGAATAGTTCGACCGATGTGAGCCCGAACCACTTCCGCAGATTTTGGAGCCACGAGTGTCTTCTCCTGCCTGGCCCTCGCTTACTGTCTATTTTTCCCGTCATATTGGTATCATCATAAAAAAAAATTGGTATCATCCATTTGAAGTTATTGATGTCATTTATAAAGATAAGGAAAAGTAGAGGACCCAATCCTGAACCTTGTGGTACTCCACATACAATGGTTTTATGAATAGAGTCAGTATCATTTGCTCTAACTAGTTGTTTCCTATTTCTAAAATAAGATTGGAACCAATTTAAAGAAATACCTCGAATTTCCTAGAAATTTAGTTTTTCTATCAAAATGTTGTGATTTACACAATTAAAAGCTTTGACATAGTTACAAAAAACAATGGCAGTAAAAAATTATTGTATAGTGCTTGATATACCTCATGTAGTGTAGAAAACATACCATTACTAGTATATTTATTAGATAAAAAGCCGAACTAACTACTTGGTGATAAAATGTTCTTGTTAACGACAAAGGACATAAGTCGGGTTTTTATTAGTTTCTTAATAATTTTTGATAGGACCAGTAGTAAGACAATCGGTCTAGGTTTGCAAACATTTGATTTTTTACCACCCTTATGAAGCGAAATAATAATGGCTGTCTTTAGGCACTCTGCAAATATACATTTTTTAATGGAATCATTAATTAGTGAGACATAATTTTTATAGAAAGTCCATCATTACTACAGGAAGATTTACTTTTGATACTACTTATTGTTTGGATTAGTTCAGATTTATCAAATGGTCTTATAAATATTGAATTCAAAACATTTTTTGAATTGGAGAGATAAAATATAGGATCTTGTTGTGGCAAAATAGTTAATGTTATATTGTTACGCATATTAACGAAGAATTAGACGAAAAATTAATGAAGAAGTTCATAAATTAAGCTGTTTTCTTCACTTCCATCATATTATTGCTGCATATCTTTAATACGGTAAACGATTTGCAATCTTTTTTCTATTTTATTTAAATAATGTTGTAGATGAACTGATGACGTGTATAAATTGAATACACGAAACGTCTTCTATAAAAGAGTCACGTAGCAAATATTCCTCTCGGAGGAACCTGTAACCTCTAGAGAGCGCGTCCCCAGGTGGCGGATAGGGGAATGCCCTACCCGGTTTATCCGTGGGTAGGAGGCAAATAAAATACCTCCCATGGACCAACAGGTAATTCACCGAATGATTGCCGGTATAAGCAATCCCCCTCTTATGACCAACGGCTGCGGGCGGATGAGTTAATAAGTGGAAGGGCACTCTTTTGTCCAAGGGTTGGGAAACTGGTCCTAAAGGCGGATGAATCGAAAAATATGTCAACGGCGTAAGGATGGAGAAGGCAACCGGGAACCACTGCATTAAAGACTCTTAGAGTACCCCTAGTAAAGTCATGAATGGCAAATGACAAGTAGAGTAAACAAACTTACTGATTATGGAGCACGGAATCCAAGATCCGGCAGGGGAAAAATAACTGTAGATCACAGGGCCTCCCAGGTCGTAAACCAGAGAAATCCCTGTGGACTTAAGACATTGAAAATAGCAACCTGGAATGTCAGAAGTTTATATGCAAGTGGTAAATTAGCGAACGTACTGCTTGAAATGGAAAACCTCCAAATTGATGTTTTAGGTATAAGTGACGTACAGTGGCCAGGTTCAGGCAAACAAATTACAAGTAATGGAACCATGTATTATTCAGGTAGCAACGAGGTCAATTATCGTTATGGTGTTGCTATCTTAGTTGCAAAAAAGGTCAATTACTCTGTGATAAGTTTTACTCCTTATTCTGATAGGATCTTATCAATACAACTACAGTCTAAAAAAGGTATAGTAAATTTTATTCAAGTTTATGCTCCTACGGCAGATAAAGATGACGACGATATCGAACTGTTTTACCATGATTTGGTAAAGAATAAAAAACATAAAGATTGGATGACTGAAGAAATACTACTATTAATGAATGAAAGAAAATCATTCAAAACAAAAAATCCAATTAAATATAATGAAACTGATCGATTAATAAAAAAGAGAATAAAAGAAGCTAAGCAGAGAATGTTACATGAGCAGTGCCAAGAACTAGAAGAAATTGAGAAAAAATATGACTTTTTTAACATGCATAAAAGAATTAGAGAATTAACAGGAATGAGAAAAACACTTCAAACTAGGCAATTAAGAGATGAAAAGGGTGCACTTATAACAGATATAAACCAAAAAATGCAGAGATGGACACAATATATAGCACAACTATTTGAAGACAAAGAGAGAACAGAAGCACCAAAAGAATTTAAGGATGATACTGGGCCTGACATTATACGAGAAGAAATTGAATATGCAATAAAACAAGCTAAAGGTGGTAAATCTCCCGGGCCTAATGAAGTTCCCATCGAATTACTTAAAATTGCGAATACTGAATCTATTGATCTTCTTTTGGATCTATTCAATACCATATATAGAACAGGTATAATACCTAAAGAATGGCTCCAATCAACATTCATACTGCTTCCCAAAAAAGCCAATGCAAAGGAGTGCAATGAACATCGCACCATAGCCTTAATAAGTCATGTCTTGAAATTGTTTTTAAAAGTAATTCACAATAGAATACATAAGAAATTAGATGAAGGCATAAGTAATACATAAATCGGATTTAGTAAAGGACTGGGAACACGAGATGCACTGTTTGCAGTAAGTGTTCTTTCGCAGAGATGCTTAGATATGAATCAGAAAGTATATGCCTGTTTCATTGATTTTGAGAAGGCATTTGACAGAGTGCAGCATAATCGACTTAAAGAAATTTTATTAAATAAAAACATAGACAGTGGAGACATTAGAATCATCTGTAACCTCTATTGGAATCAAACAGCAAAAGTGAAAGTTGAAAACGAACTGACCAAGGATATCCAGATTCGCCGTGGGGTCCGCCAAGGGTGTATTTTATCACCCTTGTTATTCAATTTATACAGTGAAGCCATCTCAGAATTAGCGCTTGCCGAGATCAGTGAGGGCCCTATAATAAATGGTGAGCCACTTAATAACATAAGATATGCTGACGACACCGTCCTTCTGGCAGGAACACTAGAAGAACTGCAACACCTTGCTGAACAACTAAATATATATTGCAACGATTATGGACTAAAAATCAATTTGAAGAAAACCAAGTTCATGGTATTTACAAAAGCACAAAACATCAAAGTTAAGCTAGTACTAGATAATACAGAAATTGAACAAATATCTTCGTACAAATACCTTGGAGCATGGATCACAGAAGATACTGATCAGACAAAAGAAATAAGATGCCGCATTGAAATTGCGCGGTCAACTTTTAAAAGAATGAGAAAACTTTTTTGTAATCGCGATATCAATATACCGCTCCGGATAAGAATGCTTCGATGTTATATTTTCTCTACCCTTTTGTATAGAGTTACAGCTTGGACACTTAAAAAATCCAACATTAAAAACCTAGAAGCATTCGAAATGTGGTGTTACCGACGCAATTTGAAAATATCATTGATGGATCGCAAAACAAACGAACAAGTTCTCGAACAACTAGGAAAACAATGCGAAGTTTTAAATTCCATAAATATCAGGAAATTGGAATACGTGGCTACGCAATCTCCGTGAGTGGTTTGGATGCAGTTCAATTGAACTATTCAGACGAGTAACCAATAAAATTATAATTGCCAGAATGATTTTGAATCTCCGATAAGAGTGGAACTTGAAGAAGAAGAAGCAAATATTCTTTGCTTTATTCTCTAACTTTTGACCAAGAACCCTTCACTATCTTAGTGAACTACATTTATTATTTGTACCTGTATAAAACTATGTACAAAAATATGTAACTGTATAAAGACTTTTATAGTTCATTTTTAATTAAATAGGATTAAATATTGTTCCAACAAACGAATTCATATTGTAATAGTATAAATGGCCAATAAATCAAGTACGAACACTGTATGAAGTATCTAACTTTCATTTTATTTTTTAGGAGGTTGTGAAAGCATCACTTCCGTTTTCAGACTTGACGCTGACACATGTGGCCGACTCTGGGTTTTAGACAGCGGTCTTATACACGTTACTGTAAAACCTGTGCAAGTTTGCTCTCCAAAAATACTGGTTTTTGACCTAAAAACCGACGAGTTAATATTGAAATATGAGCTACCAGATGAGTTTATCAAGCAAGATAGTTTGTACTCAAATATAATTGTTGATGTGCGAGATGACTGTGAAGATGTTTATGCGTATCTTGCCGATGTTTGGAGATACGGTATTGTAGTTTTTAGCTTGAGTAAGATGCGCTCATGGAGGGTCACTGATCATTTATTTTATCCTGAACCCTTGGCGGCTGCGTATAAGGTAAGTTTATTTATATTTATAAAAGGCCAATATAGTTGTTATACACTTTATGAAAAATGAATGAATTGAAAAAAAATCAAGTACTTTAAAAGTTTGTAAAGCATCCTAGCTGAGCGCATTCTCAGAGGTATGTTACAATATAAAACAATTTTTAATTGAAGGTGATTACTTGGCAACATCGTACTTAACGAAGCCCTTAACGATAACTTTTCAACGAAATCGTATTGAAATTATCAATTTTGCAGAGGCGTTCCAAAAAAAAATTTAATTCTTTATTTAAACACATAAGTAATTACGTAAAAATTAAATCTAAGACCGATTTAATTATTAAATTGTCATGTCTCTTTTAACAGGTATCTTATAGTTGTTTAACAAAATAAAAAAAATTTTTATTCTTATTAGAGAGTATCTAAATAATACAGAACTTCAAAAAACAGAAAATTAAAATGAAGTATGCTAAACTATTATCATATGAATACGTTTATATAGCAGTGCATTTGTTTGTTTCAGTAAATTCTCGAAATATGAAATGAAGGTGGAACTAATTACTAAAGAGTTAATAGCTTTGTTAGAAGAAGACTCAGATTGTGAAAATGCCACTTAATGTGGTTTATTTGCCGCCGCGATTAGATTAGAAAGTTTCTGATGTAGAAGACATTGATCTTCTTCTTCTTCTTCCTTCTAGTTTGTAGGCTTTAAAGCCTGTTTCTTCTTTAATATTAGCTTCCTAAATTGTTTAAATTGTCGCACCATCTTTTTCTTGGTCTGCCAATACTTCTTCGTCCATTTGGTGACTTATCTCGCGCTATTCGTACTATTCTATCCTCCGCCATTCTACTGATGTGTTTGTTCCACTTTCGTTTTCATTTTGTCACCCATCCATTTATGTCTTCTATATTGCATGCTCTTCTTATATTTTTGCTTCTCTCCCTATCCAACAGACTTCTCCTTGATATTCGTCGGAGTATTTTCATCTCTGTTGTCTCTAGCAGTCATCTCGTTTTAGATGTGTCAGGTCTTGTCTCAGCCGTGTATGTTAATATAGGTCTAATTCCTGCTTTATAGACTCTTGTTTTTGTGTCTTGTCTTAGGTGTTTGTTCTTCCAGATTGTGTCATTAAGAGAACCTGCCGCTTTACTTGCTTTTAAGCTTTGCTGTCGTACTTCTTCTTCAACATCTCCGGGAATTCTAACGATTCTGATTATGATATTCCTCTGAACCACAGATAAAACGTCCAAAAAAAACAGGCAAAAATAGTAAATCCAAATTTATCTCAAGTTGTAATAACGGATATTCTTTCGTGCTCCTACAATAGAGAAATATGTACAATATGTTATATGTAAAGAAAGATACAATATGTTCCTAAAAATTGTACTGTTTTCCTTAAAAATGAGAAAAAAATCTTTTTGGTTGTAATTTATTCCTAATTTGTGTTTTTAATCCAATCTAATAAATTAATTGTCAAATTTCTCTTTGTATATTGAGCGGCCGTTAAGGGTTTAATACTATATAAAGAATAAACTGGCCTCAAATTTACTTTCCTTACCTCAAAACTATTTTAAAGTTAATAATAAAGTATATTTAATAAATATATTCCCAATAATACCTTACGCCTATGTACATATGTGTAAAATCTGAAAGATATCATATTTCATAAACTTCAATAAACTAAGATATCATATTTCTCTAATTAACATTCTTTCTAAAAACGTAAATATATAAAGACCAGCAAAATATTGATAATTTTAACGATGTTCCAAACTATTCTATGAACTTGTCTCACTATACACTCGTGAATCGCATAAATTTATATTGTTACGGGGGCAAATTTATCTTAGATGCGTTACAAATTTACATATTTACATGGGCGAAGCATACACAATAAAAATGACCCCGGTAAGAATTTACTAATGAAATTTTGCATGGTTGCCGCTACCGTTTAGTTCAATTTGTAGATTAGTCACCTTTAATTGAAAATTGTCCGACTAGTAACTATTTAAGAGTTTCAATCTTTACCTAACAACGGTAAGTTGTAAATTGTTGCTGTAAGTTGTAAATTGTTGCTGTAAGTTGTTTGAAGTGTACGTGAAATTAAAAAAAAATATATAACTACGAAGGAGCAGGCATCCCAATGTTCAACAAGAGGAACCTATTTTTTCATCAAAATTAGGAAATTTTAAAATTTCTTACAAAATTTATTAAAAGGACACCACAAAAAATACAATAAAAGCTTCGTTATAGTACGTGTACAATCTCCCATACATCTGGACGAAGCTGGAGCTGAGACAAAGTGTGCCTGTCGCAGATTTAGCCATCGGCTTTCACTTCATCTAAGGGGAAAATTTGCTCATCCTAGATTCCTATGGTATCAAAAGGATCGAACTATGATGGAACTCTTTCCGTATTATACAGACATAGGTGACTTAGTATGTTAGAGTATCTCCCAAAAAATTTCTTACCAATCTAGATGTTGAGAGCAGTACTGCTTTCTGCATAATCTTATAGAGATATTCATTAAGACCCAGTTGTTTATATGTTTTCTAAGAGGCGCTTCGGAATAACTTTAGTAGTATAGATAATAATAGGTGTTATCTGGAAACTCTCTATTTTCCATTGTCTCCTTATTTTTAATTTTATCTTTCTGCGCATTAATTACTTAACGATCTGCATTTTTAACAAAAGTCATTCATTTTTCTATCGTTCTTTGTTAACATACAATGTCTAAAATAAAAATCTTTTGTCTGCAACAATGTATTATAACCGTTTATTGTTCTATGTCGTCTGTGTTTTTGTACTTGGAATCTTGGCTTATTATACGAGGAAAATCAAAACTAACAGAAAGTCTGTTAATATTTTATTAATGTTTATAGACAGTTATGTTTCAACTCATTATTAACGCTTAAGGAATAATTTAATTCTAGAGTTTTATTTTTTATTATTGTCAATAAATTTGAATATTTTTTACTTATTTTTAAGCTTCACCATTTAGACTTTGAATGGACCGACGGAATATTTGGAATGTCTCTTAGTCCGTACAATCCTAGACAGCCAGACAGAATACTATACTTCAATCCAATGTCCAGTTTTAGAGAATTTTATGTTCAGACGTCAGTAATTCGTAACGAAACCGGTTGGTCCAAAATAAAAGATGCATTCAAGGTGATCGGTCAAAGCAGAGGAAAATCTGGACATATGTCAGCTTCAAGGATTTCTAAAAATGGTAACATAAGATATACTGCATACGATTATACACACATGTATTTACATATATAGCCAGAGGTAGAGAGAGATAAAGAGGCGGGGGAGAGATAGAGGAAGAGAGAGAGAAAGAGACTTTGCAACTAAATGGCGTTTCTCGCATTCCAGACACCATGTTTTCTTTTAGGCCTAGTATCTTGCGGAGGCTCCTCTACGTTGCATTTCAATGTCTTTGCTAAAATATAACTTTTTCTTGTCTTACTTTGTTTATTTCTCTGCACTGGTATCCATTTCCAAACCTTTAAAATTACTCTCTCTTCGTTCATTCTATGCAAGTGCCTTTTTTAATTTTTTACTCTTATTTTTTTTACAATGGCCTCATGACTTACGTGATTAGGTGAAGTTTAATGAAAAGTGAAAATAATGCAGGATCAATCACCGACGGTAAATAGCCTGGAGAGAGTCATTAAAGAAGCAATGAAAGGAAGCAAGATAGGTCACCAAGATGTCAACAGGATGCGTGGAATACTGGTGGAATGCGGACATCGAGGCACTAAGAAATGAATGTATAGCAATGAGAAGAAGGTTAACAAGAGACAGAGCATGGACCATGCCTGAGGTTATCAAGGAGATCGATAAAGAGTATCGCGTAAGGAAGAGGGAACTTTACAGGAAAATCCGTACAGAAAAAAGAAGGCACTGGAAAGAGCTGTGTGAAAAGCTGGATGATGACATCTGGGGTCAAGAATACAAGATCGTCATGAAGAAGTTCTATGCGTATCCTCCTCCTTACGAAATATCCATGGAGAAGAAGCTTGAGGTAGAATAGAATAGAATAGAAATATGCTTTATTGTCACTGAAAATTATTGAACAATTTTATGGACAAAGCTAAAAAATAAATCAGTCAATTAATACAAAAAGTATAAAACAAAAACAATATAGTAAAAAACAGAATAACACAATTTTAAATTAGTAAAATTATTGTATAACCTACATAATTTGTACAGACAACAACAAATGAGACAAATTGTAGCCACTGCTTGAGACATCCAAATGTAATTATAAACAATACTAATTTTGTTTCTTTGTTATACATTAAGAAACTCGTCAACTGAATAATATGGTCTTTCTGAGAGATAGATTTTTGTCACCTTACGAAACTTAATGAAGGATGTTGCGGATTTAATTTATCTTGGAAGGTGATTATAAAGTTTCTTTGCACGATATAGAATAGAATTCTTTACTAGCTGAGTGGACGGGATCGGCAAATAAACGTTACAATCCGAAGTTCTAATGGAGTAGCCATGGTCAGGTCTATCGGAAAAAATGTTTAGATGCTTTCGAATCAAACAATCCGTTTCCAAAATAAATAAAGGGGGAAGCGTCAAAATTCCGTGATTTTTGAAGTAGGTCTTGCAATGAGTTGTTTCTTTGAGACCAAATAGATAACGGATTGCTCTTTTTTGCAACTTAAAAATAGTATCAAATTGGGCCGCTGTACTAGAACCCCAAAATGGAAGCCCATATCGAAGATGGGACTCGAACAATGAGAAATATGCCATTATGGCAGAAGATAAATTTAGTTCCTTCGAAACAGATCTTATTGCAAAGCAAGCTGAGGCTAGTTTCTTTCTTAAGGAGTCACTATGCAAGGACCATTTGAGATCACTGTCAATGAGAATACCTAGAAATTTCACGGAATTTACGATATTGATTTGGCTCTCATTCAAAAGCAAGGGTTGCATGACTCCTTTATAAGATAATGCTACAGTCTTATCCACGTTAAAGCTAAGTAAGTTAGAGTCTGACCAAGCCTTGATTATAAGTAAATCATCGGTTATAATTGAATGAAGCGTTGAAATATCAGAGCTGCTCCAAGTAATACTGGTATCATCAGCAAATAGAAAAATTTTCCCTTTAATTTTCAAGTAAGTGATGTCATTAATGAAAAGTAAAAAAAGAGTGGGATCTAATACTGAACCTTGCGGTACTCCACACTCAATATCTTTACAACTAGAGTCGGTGTCATTTATTCTAACCAATTGTTTCCTACCTACCAAGTAAGTTTTGAACCAGTTCAAAGACACACCCCGAATTCCGTAGAAAGTTAATTTTTTTAATAGAATGTCGTGATTTACGCAGTCAAAGGCTTTGGAATAGTCGCAGAAAACGGTGGCGGAGGAGAGGTTACTGTTTAGTGATAGATATACATCATGTAACACAGAAAATATGGCATCACTAGTGCATTTATTAGACAAAAAGCCGAACTGATTTTGGGATAAAATATTATATTTAAGGAGAAAGGGCATAAGTCTAACTTTTATAAGTCTTTCAATAATTTTTGATAGTGCTGGTAACAAGGCAATAGGTCTATAGTTGCAGGCATCAGATTTTTCTCCACCTTTATGAAGAGGAATGACGATGGCAGTCTTTAGGCAGTTAGGGAATGTACCTTTTTCAAGGGAATCATTTACTAGCGAGACCACGACGTCCAAAACATTATGCGGTAGATTTGAGAAAATTTTAATAGATAATCCATCTGTACTACAGGACGATGTGCTTTTTATACTACGAATTGTTGAAATGAGTTCCGTCTTATCAACTGGTCTTAAAAAGAAGGTATCAGCAATGTTTTTTGAATTAGAGAGATAGAAAACTGGTGGTCTTGATGTGGCGAAATAGTTGAGGTTATATTTTTACTCACATTAACAAAGTAATCATTTAGATTTTCGGGGTTAGGAAAAGAAAAGGTTTGATCCGCTGTACTGGTTTTATTTCGAAAATCGTTTATTATTGACCAAGTTTCTTTTGAAATATTTTTGGAGCTTGTTAAGCGATTATGAAAGTAGGATTTTTGGGCTACTTTGAGTAGTTTTATATAGCATTTTCTGTACTTGTTGAGGTAACACGAGAGCTCTTTCCGGACGGCAGGTGACATGGTGTATGAAGGAATAAAGGAGCTGAGCGTTAAGTTTGTTAGAGTGAGAGAAATTATTGAGAGAATGATTGAAAACAACTCAGATTGGACTAGCATACACAACTATATTCGTGCAGTGATCAAGAAAAAAGAAGAGGAAGAAAGACAGCTGAACCAACGGCAAAAGTAGTAGTGAAAGATACTGGAAACTGAAGCTAGAAAAGTGGATCAGACTGTATGAGTTAGAATACGGGAGTCAGACTGTGGGGAAGGAAGAAATGTCCGTCTGGGGGTGATGCCGTACTAGAAGCAATCGGGGTCTTCTACGCACTACCTGGAACGAGACAGGGAGCCTCATTGCTCATGAATGGAGTGTGGATGTGGATGAATGGGGAATGAATGAATGAAGGTAGTGCATTTTAAAGTACCTTGGGAAGTACCTTGGGAAGAACTTAGGTTAGTTAGGCGGCGTCCTGGACTGAGATGTCTTTTGAAGAGTCCAGACCACCCCTCTGTAAATACGAAAAGAAAGTGAAGTTTAATCAGAAGATCTTCTCTAGTACATTCTTTTGGTCGAAAGAAATTTGTGTAAGGTATTTTTTACCGATAACTCCGAAGTTTTTAGAATTAATTAAGGAAATTTTATATATTTATAAATTAATGCATAAATAATTTTGTACAAGGTGGTATTTTATTTGTGTCTATGCATTTTTAGGTATAATGTTTTACAACTTGGTAACAAGAGATTCAGTGGGATGTTGGGATATAAGAAAGCCGTACAAGAGATCAAACCTGGGAGTCGTAGCTCAAGATTCGGAAACAATGGTATTTCCCAACGATCTTAAAATTGACAAGGAACGAAGACAAAGCGTTTGGGTGATAAGTAACAGGCTGCCATTTTACCTTTATGAAGGACTAGATCCCAATAATATTAATTTTAGAATTATGTCAGCATATGTAGATGAAGCCTCTAGAAATACTATTTGTGATCCTAACTTTAGTTATTACGATACGTACAATGAGTATTTCAATGACGAAGATTGTTATTAATTAATTTGTATTATAATCTCACAATATTACTGATTTGTAAATATATTACATATTAAGCAAATGAGTCGTTTGTTTTCCATTTTATCTTACAATTTTATTATGTAAATACTATAAGCAACAATAAAAAAAATCCGTAAAATAGTTTCGAAACACAATTCAGATTTCTGCTTATAATCTGAGCCTTCTAAAAATTGCAAGGCAAACAGACGTTGATAAAAGATGTTAAATGTGAAATCAAATATTTGCTGTCTTTTTCATTTTATTTTTATTTTATTCGGATATACTCTGTGTGAGTACGAGAAACACAATTCGTTAAGGATTTCTGCTTAGTTGTAAAGACATGTCGTGGAATGTAAATTTTAGATTCTCCATGTCCGTTTTAACATCTTTTATCAACGTCTGTTTGCCTTGCAATTAATAGAAGGCTCAGATTATCAGCAGAAATCTAAATTGTGTTTCGAAACTATTTTACGGATTTTATTATTAGATGTCGCTATTGCTTTAGTATTGAAGCCATTTTAGTGTTGCTTCTTAAAAGACAGAAAATATTGATTTTTCACGTAGAGAACACCTATGAATAACTGTTCTGATGAGACCTATTAGGTCGAAATACGTATCAACAGATACATAGGCGCTGTTTGCGTGAAATCAAATATTTGCTGTCTTTTTCATAATAAAAAAAATATTTGAATGAAGTACCAAAGAATATTAAAAAATACAGAGACCGTAGAAGAAAGTTTTTAAATAATAATAAATATCAACGTACTTACAATGAAAATGAAATTTAAAATCCAAAAGATTTCTTAATCTCTAACTTCCTAAAGTAAACAAGTACATATTTAGGGATTACTATTTTTATTGCGAATAAGCCACAATGTTTTATCTTTTGAGAACGATATCCGAAGAGGAAACTAAAACGTCAAAAATAAACCTATTTTAAAATTAAATTGTGGATTATTTTCAATAAATATAGTAATTACATTAAGAGGGCGCAAGAAAATGGTTTCAGAACAATATATTTAGGGATAATACATTTGTCACTACGGTCCGTCCCAAACCCTTCTTTCAGTGCGTCATAGTTGTTCGAATTCTCTCTAACGCATTAAGCTAGAAGTGACAGAAAAAAACGTGAGTCGCTGATTATTATACATAGAACTTAGAAAATTAGATATCGTTCACGGGTATTTGCATATTAAAGCGAATTCTACTTACGAACGTATAATTGGTTGGAGTTTAGAATACGCTAAATAGATATCCAACCAATTAAGCATATAAATATAATTTGACACAGATGATCTTTATAATGACAGTGACAGTACTTTCACAATGTCAACTGATAAAATGATAATTGCCATTCCAGGTTAGTATTTTCAGACATTTTAACTACAGTGAAAATTAAATTTTGTATTTATTGTCATAAAAATATTTTAAATATTCCGAGATATACCGAGAATGAAAAAAGACTAATATTAAAATATTAAATTAGTTTCAATTAGAAAAAGAGGCTGAGTTATCTTTATTTCAGTTTCTGTCGTTCGCGAATCAGATTGTGAATTCCGGAATAATATTGAAGAAATATCTTAAACTAATACCTTTATGGATATTTATATGTATTAAAACGGTTCTTTTTAGAACCACGAAATGTTCTTGAAATGTTGGATATAATTGATACCAGCCACATATCTAGTGTAATCATTGATTTTTAAGAATCAGATTCTGAATGGGATTATAGATTGTTTGAAATATAATATTCATTTTTGTTATTCATAAAAAAGAAGGTAAATTTACATTCGGTATCTTGTTTTTTAACTAAATTCCATTAACACGATTTCATCTGGAAATCGGAACTGGTAGATTAACTTAAAAATCAACTGCTTCACTATTTAAACCATTTCCACTATTTAATGACAACTCTTCACAAAATTAAACTATTGGCTGCCACACAAACTTATCAGAAAATTCCTTATCCAAATATGTCTGATTTAAATCGATATTATTTTATCACAGGAATGTTTACTTTGATGCCTTGCAATTGTCAGTAAATTTTTTTACCTTGCAGTCAACTCTTAAAAGATTCTAGGAGGAAGCGTTATTTTAAATAAACAAACCTTCCAATCCCCTAGTGTTTGTAATAAATAAGAATAAATCCATCTTAGCTAATTAAGCACTTTCCATGGAATGTATAAAATAGAACAGAATAGAATAGAATTATGACAAACTGCTATGCATTAAAAAAAATAACCTTTTCACGTTTAGCCGATTACGATCCTGCAACTGTCAGATTTAACTAAAATGTCATGCAATAATTCTCGACATTCTTAAAATCCTATATGACGTCAAAATTAGTGACGCACTGAAAAAAGGGTTTGGGATAGACTGTACACAGAATTATACACGAAATGTTCAGTAACGCTATAAACCTTAACGAAATACCAGATGAATGATCCAAAGCATATATAACCTCAATACATAAAAAGGGAGATAAGAAGAAATGCGGGAACTACAGAGGCATCAGTGTGACAGCATGTATGGGCAGGTTATATGGAAAAATACTGAAAGAAAAACTGGAAAAATCTATCTCAAATAAAATAGGAGATCAGGCGGGGTTTACGGCAGGAAGATCTTGCATAGACCACATATATACACTCCAACAATTAATTGAAAAAAATGGTTAATGCCATTCATAGATTCAAAAAAATGCTTATGACACGGTTCCCAAAAAACAACTATGGAACACGATGAAGGAAATCGGCATAACTCAGAGGTTAATAGATGCCGTAAAAAACCTTTACAACAACAACAAGGTAAGAGTTAAAACCGGCAATAAATACTCCAACGAATTTAAGATCACAAAAGGCTGATTGCAGGGATGCTCTACATCTCCGACACTGTTGAAGATATTCCTCGAACAAATATTAAAACCATGGAAAAGGAAAGGTGAAGGGATGGGAATACCAATCCGGGACAACTTCTTGTACACATTAACTTTTGCAGATGACCAAGTGGTAACGGCTCAAGATGAAGAAGATCTGTGATATATGCTCCGAAAATTAGAAAAGGAATACACAAAAAATGGACTGGAAATAAACCTAGAAAAGACCGAATATTTAACAACAGAGCAAGATCCAGTGAGAAACTTGGAAATTGACGATGATAGGAAAATTAACGGCACTAAAAAATTCAAATATTTAGGATTCATACTCTCAAAAAATGAAACCAACGAGCAAGAGATAACCAGCAGATTAGCACAGACAAGCACATGTAATAAACAAATGAACGGGGTACTGTGGGATAAAGAGATTACCAGAAATACAAAGAAGAGAATTTATAACACGTTGGTACGCAGTATAATGACTTGTGGAGCAGAGAATTGGGTAATAAATAAACGAAACAGGTCCAAAATCACAGCAACTGAAATGGAGTTCATGAGAAGAAGCTGCAGAGTGACAAAAATAGATCGCATAAGAAATGAGGAGATAAAACGAAGAATGGCAGTAGAACAAGACATACTCAGCTACATCGAAGAAAAACGTTTAATTTGGTATGGACATGTGAGAAGAACAGATCATAGAAGGTGGATAGCAAAGATTTCGGATTGGATCCCAATAGGAAGGAGGAAAAGAGCAGAACAGAAAGGACTAGAGACGTTGGCTGGAAGAAGGAAGGCGGAGGCAGCTGTAAGAATCCTAATATAGATAGATAGACATTTGTCACTGCTTCTCCCTTTAAATCTTTTCCATATGTCACTGTCGTTCCATTCTTAGTCTCTCAAACCCTGTTTAAGCATGATTTTGTATCTTCTGAGTCTCTCCTTCCCTTTCTTCGACTAAGAGGCTCCATTCTTCTTGTTTTTACTTGTTTATACCACTTCGGTTATTTTTTTTTGCATATTTTTACTGTTGCATTTTCTCATTTTTTATTATGTTCATTCTGCTTACTCACAGCATCTTCACAAGATGTCCATCTTTGTTACACATTTTATTGCTGCTTTTTTTATTTAATTCAAATTTTATGCTCAGATGCCAGCTCAGTTTCTATTTCTTCTATTATTTTTTAATCTCTTGGTTTTATCTCTTCATTGCTTGTATTTAGCTTGCCCCTTCCAGATTCACTAATTTTCTCTAACGGAAAAATGTACTTATTTAAAATACCTATGGTTTAAAAGGATTATGTTCTGTGGATCCATTTCATCTTATCGAGTCCTAGGGTTGCTAGTAGAATGTTCTCCCAGGATGCAATGAAAGTTGATGCAATGCAATTCTGGCTTTCTATAGTAGAGCTGCAAGAGGTTGTACATGGGATCGTAGATTGCTTACCCGTAGAATTTTGCCCGTCGATGATAGTGTCAGGTTTTTTTTCTCTTCATCATATCGTTTTAACTTTTCGAGATCAAACTTTTCTTTGTTAATGGAATCACTATTTAGAAGAAAAATACCTGTTTTTCCAAAGTCATTCACCACAACAGGTTCTCGAATACTGCGCCAAGCTGTTTTCCTAAATTTTTGCGCTACCAATCTGTTAACAAAGCATCCCATGAAAACTTGAGCCCATTGAAGACAGACACATCCAAAGGCTGAAATATTGCAGAAGTATGTGGCGGTAATTTAAGAATGGTTACATATTCTGCCATGGATAACACAATCAGTTCGGTTAAAATGTCCGATAAATGACCATCGTAAAGCAAAAGAGCACAGCATACAAAATTGTGTCCCTATACTTAACGAACGACTGGCACGGTATACTGACAATATAATAGGATCCTACCAAAGAGGCTTTTTGAAAAACAAATCTACCATTGATCACATATCATCCATCAGACAAATATTAGAAAAAACGACGGAGTACGACATAGACTGCCATTACATCTTCGTAGACTTTAAGGCAGCGTACGATACTATTGACAGGTCCCAATTATATTCGGCGATGATCGAATTAGGGATACTAAAAGGATTGGTAGAATTAATTAAAATGACATGAAAAGTCAAAAAATGGATGAAAGTCGAATATAAAGTGCGCGTACAAGGGGATGTTTCAAAACCATTTAAAACCAACAGAGGACTGCGCCAGGGAGATGCGCTATCATGCACGCTATTCAACCTAGCGTTAGAAAAAGTTATGAGAGATTCGGGAATAAACTTAAAAGGTACGCTATATACCCGTAGTATACAAATAATGGCATACGCTGATGATATCGTCATACTTGGAAGAACCCAAAATGAAGCAGTGGAGGCTTTCACACGTATCAAAAATGCCGCAGAAAACATCGGACTTCTGATTAACATCCAGAAAATTAAATATATGCCGCCCATATCAAGAATTCAACAAAATAACTTAGAGGTGCAACACAAAACGATAGAAATGGTAGAAGAATTCTGATACTTAGGATCACTGGTAGACTACAAAAATAACACATCCGACGAGACAAAAAAAAGAATATGCGTGGCTAACCGCTGTTATTTCGGCATGGGCCCTCAACTAAGAGCGAGAAGTATGTCAATAGCAACAAAGTGCAAACTTTATAAAACAATAATACGCCCAGTGCTCACATACGGATCGAAAACATGGGCAATGACGACCCGAGATGAAGAATTACTACGAGTCTTTGAAAGAAAAGTATTGAGGACCATATATGGCGGAGTAAACGAACAGGGTCTGTGGAGAAGGCGATATAACTTTGAACTCTATAGACTTTTTGGTGATGCAGATATTGTGAAGACCATCAAAATAAACCGCCTAAGGTGGGCGGGCTACGTTATGTGAATGGATGAGAGTGATTCCACTAAAATAACTATGCTAAACAGGCCGGTCGGAAGAAGAAGAAGGGGGCGACCTAAACTCAGATATCTGGACGATGTACAGGAAGATCTGAGGGAGATTGGAGTGAGGGGCTGGAGAAGACAGACACTCGATAGGGAAGAATGAAAGAATGTTTTGAAGCAGGCCAAGGCTCACGAAGGGCTGTAGCGCCAACTGATGATGAAAGCAAAAGAGCAGGCCTTGCAACACAATTTTTCAAAAAAAAAACATATTTCAACCATAGAAAAAATACTTTTGCCCTTGTGGAGGATCATAGATAGCAATATGGATCCATTGACATTAGCACATGCCAAAACTGTTGTTGTTTTCCGTCCTGAGCCTACAGTTTGCCTTTTTGCTATTTTTCCAATTCCAGTTACAACCTTAGTACGGCTGGTATCATAATTAAAAGCCGTTTCATCTGCATTCCATATCCTAGCAGGGTATTGTTGAAGTTGTAAATCATTCATAATAGTTTTCAGTTGATCAAAGAAATCGTAAACAACAAATGGTTCTGAAGCTATTTTCTTGTGGCATTTTAAATTAATTACTATTTAACTGGGAATAAGCCACAATTAAAGGTTAAAGTGTATTTATTAATATTTAAAATGAGTCACTTTGTTGTCTTACATGTGATGCTTCAATTATCTAAGGTTTCTTACTAGAAAGTCGGTTGCGTTTTGAAAAATTCAGAAACCACTCTTTACCAGATTTCTCCTCTCTAAAGGGCGTCTGTAAATTATTTTGTTGAACATATACCTGTACAGTGTTGAGTATTTTTTGCGAGATAGTAAAGTCACAAAGAATAAACTGGCTTGGTCCCCTAGAAAGAATTCCAGATAATCGAGCTGTAAAAGTAGTCCAGAGATGGAATCCCCAAGGAAACGGAACAAGAGGAAGGCCTCGTAAAAGATGGATAGACGACGTAGAGAGGGATCTTAAAACCATGAACATCAGGCAGTGGCGAAGGAAAGTATCCGACAGGGCAGAATGGAAGAACATTGTTAAACAGGCCAAGACTTACAAAGGGTTGTAGTGCCATAAGAAGAAGAAGAAGAAGAAGTCCAAACCCCCACTTACTCATAGTTTTTGTCCGACAAGCCAAAATGTATTCATCTTCTTTAGAAAGGGCAGTTCTACCACCTCCAGTCACACCTGTAATAGATTTTCATTCACTTTTAATCCGAGTGTCGATTTTGGTACGCCATGCTCCATTGCAGCATTCTTTAGTTAAGATTTTCCCGATTTCACATCTCTTATAGCCAGTTCTAATGCTTCTATTAAATACCTACTCCCGACACCACAAGAGTCTTTTTAATATATTTTCTAGGCATTTTTGTACCCAAAGAATAAGTTATAAACAAAGAAACCTAGAAACATTTACCATAGTTCCCCCGGTATCGCGGTCCACAGTTCCACCGCTCATGTGTCATAACTGGGTAACTGTGGACTCCTTCTTAATTACCAAACTATTCTTCTCATACTCCGGTTATTCAGCGCTAGATGGCGCCTGAAGTTTACTTTCGGAAGCACTTATTGAAAATTAGCACTGCTTTTGTACTGAACCAACTTTTTCTAATTTAGCTCAACTACTCCGCAATTTACGAAAACATGACAGTCAGAGTTTTAGTTGCTAACTGAATTTTTGTTTTGGTAGCTGATGTCTCAAGAATTTCTCACTAGTTACTACCAGAGAGATTAAACAAATATGTATTGTAAACTTTATCATCATCATTAGCCATTTTGCGTCCACTGCTGAACATAGGCCTCCCGTAAATAATTCCATTGCATCCGATCTTGAGCAACTTGAATCCAGTTAGACTGGATGCGCTTTAAATCGTCCGACCACCTTGTTGGAGGACGTCCTCGACTACGATACGCATCGTGTCTAGGCCTCCACTCTAAAATTTTCTTTGTCCATCTTCCATCTCTGACCCTAGCAACATGTCCTGATCAGTTCCATTTCAGGGTTGTAATTCTTTCAACTGCGTCCGTCACACCAGTTTTTCTCCTTACTATCTGACTCGAAACTCTGTCCCTGAGTGATACGCCCAACATTGACCTCTCCATCGCTCTCTGTGCCACTTGTATCTTATTAATTACTTTTCTGGTAAGTGTCAATGTTTCTGCTCCATATGTCAGAACTGGAAGTACATACTGATCAAAAACTTTTCTCTTCAAGCACATGGGAATAGCTGATTTAAAGACTTCCCTCAGTTTTCCGTAAGCTGCCCATGCCAGTCCTATTCTCCTTTTTAACTCTGTTGTTTGATTGTCTCTTCCCAATTTAATCTCGTGGCCCAGATACTCATAGGAATACACTTGTTCATTTATAAGATCTTGTTAATTAAAAAAACATCAATGGGTGCCACAATTAACCCATTTCACCCTATGCTATCTGTATTTGTTAAAATGCCTAAATATCTCCTATGTCTGCTTCTACTGTTGTGAGGTATTTTGTGTTTACTAAGTTGATCTCGAGTTCTGCTTTAGTATACTCTTTTTGTAGCTTCTTCATCATGTAATTCTTCTTGTAGCTTCCTCATCACGTAATTCAGGTCTTCAAGAGTTCTGTGCAATTACTTATTTATCACCTTCAAACCTTGATGTTGTACTTGTATTCATTTTCCGATTCCGATTCCGATTCTATGTACCTATTCCTTTGCCGCCTCTTCCATGTGTTTTGTGTTTTTTAATCATATTTAAAATAATACTGGGAAATACTTCTGCAAGGGAGCAATAAAAAATGTTTTATGTTGAAGTTTTTTATTAACAATTTAACATTGTTCTGAAGCTATTTTCTTGTGACATTGTAAATTAATTACTTTTAAACTGGGAACAAGCCACAATTAAAGATAAAAATACGTTTATTGACGTTTCAATTTCCACTTCGGAAATCGTTCTCAAAATACAAAACGTTTTGTATTTTGAGAACGATTTCCGAAGTGGAAATTGAAACGTCAATAAACGTATTTTTATTTTTAATTGTGGCTTATTCCCAGTTTAATAGTAATTAATTAACTCAGTATAGCAATAACAATTTGATCAATATTCTTTTCTACTTAAATCTACAAAAAATTTGATAATTAATAAAACTTTCTATATACAATACTTTTTATTCCTGAAAATAAATTTAGAATATAAATAATTTTAATTATAGTACCTAGAAATAACATTTTGCTTCATAGAACTTTTGTCAGGATGTATATATTCGAAAGCAGGTTCTCCTCCTTCTATTACCCATATACTTCCGTGTGGGGCATATTTAACCACTTCCATTGCATGTCTTGCTAATACATCAGGGCTAAAACATTATACTTTATTATAAGTACGCCTATGGAAGCTTCGAGTTTATTACAACCAATATTAAAATAATTGAGTAGTAACTCAAATATCAAACATTAGAAGAGTTCAAAGTTAAAAGAGGAGTGCGACAGGGGTATGTATTGTTACCACTACTATTCAATGCATACTCTGAAGAAATTATGAAAAGAGCTCTTGAGGGAGAAACAGCTGGAATCAAGGTCAATGTAACAACAATTAACAACATTAGATATGTGGACGATACTATCATAATAGCAGACAACCTCCAAGACATCCAAAACCTACTGAACAAGATATTTGAGTAAGAAGAAGAATATGGATTATCAATAAACACCAAGAAAACCAAATTTATGAGTATATCAAAAACCCCAAATACTGGTGAAAGCCTGACAATTAACGGTAGTGCTTTAGAACAAGTTGAAAACTACCACTATCTTGGCATAATAATTAATCACACAAACGATTACTACAAAGAAATCAAAGTTAGAATAGAGAAAGCCCGTACAAACTTTAATAAAATGAGAACCGTATTTTGCGCAAGAGAACTAAAATTGGACTTGAGAGTTAGGCTGGCAAGGTGTTATATTTTCTCGACTCTGATTTATGGGATGGAAGCACGGACACTTAACGCGTCGACTGCTAAAAAGTTGAAAACATTTGAAATGTGCGTGTATAGAAGAATCCTGAAGATATCATGGACCGAGCATGTGACAAACAACGAAGTCATGAGAAGAATCAACAAAAGAATGGAAGTATTGAAAACCATCAAGACACCAAAGCTGCTATACCTGGGGCATGTTGTGCGTAATGAGAGATACAACCTTCTTCTTCTTGTGCCGTCTTATAACGAAGGTTGGCGATCCCTTCTTTAAACGCTTCTCGATCTTTTGCAACGTGAAATATCTGTTCAATACTGAGGTTAGTCCAATCTCTGATATTCCTCAGCCAAGATTTCTTCTTTCTTCCCAAGCCTTTTCTTCCCTCTCCTCTACCTTGCATGATGACTTGTATCAGAGAGTTTTTATCGTTTCGGAGTATGTGGCCCAGATACAATGTTTTTCTTATTTTAATTGTGTTCATAAGCTTTCTGCCATGTCCAACTCGTCTTAACACTTCCTCATTTGAGACTTTTGCAGTCCAAGGAATCTTCAAAATACGCCTAAGATACAACCTACTTCAGTTGATTATACAAGGGAGAATCCAGGGCAAGAGAAGTGTAGGAAGTAGAAGAATCTCATGGTTGCGTAACTTGAGGGAATGGTATGGATGCACATCAATTGAACTATTCATAGCAGCAGCATCTAAGATCCGAATAGCCATGATGATTGCCAACTTCCGTCGCGGAGCTGGCACGTGAAGAAGAAGAACTGAAATATCGCAGAATATGGATACAGGAGTATTGTTAGTATTAAAAATACAACGAAAGCAATTTCTAGTTTTACGAATTAATGTTAAAATCACAATACTCTATATTTACTGAATTACTTTAAAACTATTTTGCACTGAGAAGTTTTATGTATTTGAAACCTTCATGACTTGATAAAATACCATACAATATTCATTTGAATAAAATAATTAAATAATGATAGACAAAGGACTTACTCTTGTGTGGGCCATGCAGCGACATCGCTTTTACAATCTTCGTATATTCCGCCTAAACTTTTGCCGTCAATTTCAGAAACTAGTGGTGTATGCGTAACACCAGGACATATCGCTACCACTCTAACCTTAAAACAAAAACAAAAAAATGGTTTTAAAACAATTTTCGTGTGGTACGTTATAACAATAGTTGTATTGTTCTGAAGGTATTTTCTTGTGGCATTGTAAATTAATTACTATTTATAACTGGGAATAAGCCACAATTAAAGATAAAAATACGTTTATTGACGTTTCAATTTCCAATTCGGAAATCGTTCTCAAAATACAAACAGTAAATTAAACAAATTTTGTTTTTTGTTACATAGTGAAAAAATTCTTCTAATAATTTAATTTTATCTGACTCATTTATATTGACAATTCAGACATACATTATGCATTTTAAAGTAGACGATTTTAAAATGATATTGCCAATATTGTTGAGTTGCGCTCCTGGGACGACTTTACTTATAAGATAGTTCATTCGATTACATGAAATCAACTTTAACTTGAGAATATCCGTCAGAAAAAATCATAGCATGTAATTCGTCTTTAAAAAGACAAACACATGACATGATGACAGTAAAATTCTCCTGTTAGAGATTCCATAGTAAATTATGGGGGAAAAACCAGGAAAAAAACCTCATAATACTATCCCGACATTGTAAGTATTTGTTCGTGAATTTAGTTTACCTTCAACAAACATCAAAATTCTGATTTTATATGTTACGTAATTTAAAAAAACATAAATGATGTATCCTCTATATGTTACTGACTTACTAGGTAATACTGGTATTTTCTTATTAATAACTTCCTCTTTCAATATTGGTGACCAGATCCTACTACATTCTGCCGAGGAATTTGCGACACAATTGGCCTCATTTAGCATAATTAGAGCTGCTTCTTTGATTTTTCTTTTTTTACCATCCGTTTTTTTAGGACTATATTTGAATTATTCCATTGAACCCTATGTTCATTATCCCATGCGTGTTTACATATTTGAGATCTATCAAATTCTCTATTTCTAATATAAGATTGATGTTCACTTATTCTAACATTTAATGGCCTTGATGATTCACCTAAATAAAACTGATCGCTTTCACAAGGTATTTTATAAATGCAATTCTTTGTCCTTTCTTGTTCATTGTTAGGTTTGGTTTTGGACAAAATAGATCTCAACGTGTTTGTTGTTTTGAATGTTGTTGAAAAGGATAGGAAATAAATTCAACATTTCAACAACATTCAAAACAACAAACACGTTGAGATTTATTTTGTCCAAAACCAAACCTAACAATGAACAAGAAAGGACAAAGAATTGCATTTATAAAATACCTTGTGAATGCGATCAGTTTTATTTAGGTGAATCATCAAGGCCATTAAATGTTAGAATAAGTGAACATCAATCTTATTTTAAAAATAGAGAATTTGATAGATCTCAAATATGTAAACACGCATGGGATAATGAACATAGGGTTCAATGGAATAATTCAAATATAGTCCTAAAAGAAACGGATGGTAAAAAAAGAAAAATCAAAGAAGCGGCTCTAATTATGCTAAATGAGGCCAATTGTGTCGCAAATTCCTCGGCAGAATGTAGTAGGATCTGGTTACCAATATTGAAAGAGGAAGTTATTAATAAGAAAATACCAGTATTAGTAAGTCAGTAATATATAGAGGATAACATCATTTATGTTTTTTAAATAACGTAACATATAAAATCAGAATTTTGATGTTTGTTGAAGGTAAACTAAATTCACGAACAAATACTTACAATGTCGGGATAGTATTATGAGGTTTTTTCCTGGTTTTTCCCTCATAATTTACTATGGAATCACTAACAGGAGAATTTTACTGTCATCATGTCATGTGTTTGTCTTTTTAAAGACGAATTACATGCTATGATTTTTTCTGACGGATATTCTCAAGTTAAAGTTGATTTCATGTAATCGAATGAACTATCTTATAAGTAAAGTCGTCCCAGGAGCGCAACTCAACAATATTGGTAATATCATTTTAAAGTCGTCTACTTTAAAATGCATAATGTATGTCTGAATTGTCAATATAAATGAGTCAGATAAAATTAAATTATTAGAAGAATTTTTTCACTATGTAACAAAAAACAAAATTTGTTTAATTTACTGTTTGTATTTTGAGAACGATTTCCGAATTGGAAATTGAAACGTCAATAAACGTATTTTTATCTTTAATTGTGGCTTATTCCCAGTTATAAATAGTAATTAATAGTTGTATTTTTGTGGTTATTCGTAAAACATATTTTCTTAATATAAAAGATAACTATTCAAACGAAATTATTGCAGCAAATAATATATCTATTATACCAAAGGGATGGTCTCATGAAAGAGTGAAATATGTACATTTTCTTCGTTTTTACTTTTTCATTACCATTAGGAAGCAAACTTTTGTTCTAAACTTATGCCAAAATGAACTATGTGAATAAAACAAAACATCAGCTGGAAACTAATAAATTCTATTTACCACAAGGGTGGTAGTACTGGTTGTCATATGCCACAGTGAACCATCATCCAGTCCAAGATGGCTTTCCGTGCATATAATTCACATTGTCATAACATTGTTGATAGAAATTCTAGTGAACATGAACTCACTGATTTTGTTAGTAGGTCTTCAGATGATTACCATGCAAGTTCTGATTCGGATATTACAGAATCAGGTAAGATAATAGTATTTACTAACATAAAACTTAATTATAAAAATATGGTTATGTTTTAAAATGTTTCTTTTGCCAAAGTGAAACCATGTAAAAATGTATCTCTTTCAGTGTCCGCTGGGAGCGCTAGTGAAATATTAGCAGTTGTATCAACGTACGAACATCAATTTTACCATCTATATTAGAATGAAGCAATGTATCCCATCATTTTTCTATTGGAATTGTAATTTTTTTTTATTGAGTTAATGCCTTGACAACTAATGATCATTGGCATGGTACAGTCCAATACATAGGTACCCTAGGTACATAGGTACCTAGTGTAATGTGTGTGTGTAGAGTAATTGTCTTGATACTTAGCAAAGTCGACGTCGTTGTCTTTGCTAAGAGACGCTAATTGTATCCGAACGTCTGCGGTCCCTCCGGTGAGTACCAATCGTACAAGGATAGAAATTATTTTCATTCATTAATTTTTAATAAACGAAAATTTCTCCACCCAGATGAGATTCGAACTCACGACCTTTAGGTTTAAAGGTAGGCGCTCTTACCACTGAGCCACAGAGGGGGTTTGTAAAAAAAATAAAATCACATATATTTTACTTTATCAAAAGAATATGCAAATTGTGTGTCTTATACATAGTGAATGTGAGTTTAAAAGTATTTTTTTATGTATTATAACATAAAAAAAGTAATGTTATTTGTAAAATATTAACGTATATATAATATTAATAATTTTGTGTTTTACAGATAATATTTGTAATAATTGTGATATGAAAATACCAGAGATCAGGAAGAGCCTTAAAACAAGAAAATAAAATCTAATCCTATGAAGTGGAAAAAAATATTCGCAAGCAAAAAAGGATAGCTGGTAAAAAATATATCAATATTTCAGATACTGTCATACACTCTAAATCTTTTAATGACTATTCCTGCAATTGCAAAATGAAATACCAAAATAAGCTTACAGCACAGCAAAAAGAAAGTTTTTTTAATTTGTTTTATAACGAGTCACAGTCTTGGGAAACTCAAAAAAGCGGTACTGTAAAATGTAGAAATATAATAAGATGCCATAAAAACACTGATATTTAAAAAAACATTAAATCGTGAATTATATATCCCTTCTGAAAACGGAGATATTAAATTTTGTAAAAAAATGTTTAAGGAAATATTACAAATCAAAAGTAGTAGAGTACATTTTTTTTAAGAAAAAATTGAAAATTTAAGTGATCTTAGAGGGGAAAAAGTGCTTCTTAAAAAAACTTCATCATCCACATTACGTCCAAAAGTGAAGTAGAGGATAATAGGAACCTAAATTTTCAAGCAAATTTGTTTTGACGGGTGAAATTACACTCATTTACCGGAGTAATAATACATAGTTTTAAAGTCTACCTTATTTTTATTATAAAATACTGGCTCCCCCCAAGATCTTGTTAAACCTATCACAGCGTGTTTTGTACTGCAATAGATCGGTAAGTGCCCTGAAGATTGAATCCCTGCTATAGAAGATGTGTTCACAATAAGGCCTTCTGCTCCATGCTTGTGAGACGGAAGGTACTTTTCAAAAGCTAGCAGCATTACATTGACGGCACCGTTCTATAAAATAATTAAATCTTAAAAAAGAAACAAAAATATAGGTAGGTTAAATTTAAAAACTAATCACCATAAGAAAACCATTGATTTAATACTAATAAAATACTTTTTTTAAATTTTTTAAACCATAGCAAAAGTATCGATGATAAAAAGTAACTCTAACAATAAAACCAATTCGAAATTTGTGACATTTTTAAAATTTCATTGACGCCTTTACCTGCAATAAACAACTCTGGAAGAGCTTCATATATAAAAAAAAATAGATTATTAAAAAAAGTAAACCACGCGTACCTAAATTACTTCAAAAATATAGCTGAAAAACGGGCACTGTGGAACTGTTGGTAGTGGAAAGAAAGGTGGAAGGTTGAGTCCAAGAGAAAGATCACCAACATGATGTCATATCAAATTAAGACTCTGATGAAAAAATCCCATTAACACTGGATCACAACTAATGGAAACAACATTAAGAATATCAATACGCCCTCACAAGGGCTCAAGAAATGAGAAGATGATTGCTTCGTCATGACACATTAATTATTTTTGCATAATGGTTTTAAGTGGTCTTAAACGAGCATTATACTTTACCCATATCATACAGAAAAAATATGTGGAAAAACAAGAGACCCCTTGGTACTCCTGTATTATAACAGTACTAAAGGTTGTGCAGACACAATTTGCCAGTATAAGGTACTCCGGGGCAAGTGGAAATATGGGGGAAGTAGAAACCATGTGATTAAAAAAATCATAATCCGGTCCTTTGTTCGGATCGAAATGATCTACATTAGGTTATTATTACCATTGACACTCAGAGTCAGTCATAATTCTGTCGTTAAGCAAAACTATTCAAGTGTTTATCTAACAAGCCGGTATCGATTTAACCATCGAATTGTAATTGTTATCTTTAAGCCAACGGTTTTGATTCAAGGTATTCGAATTAACAGCGATACGGCGATAAAGCCACATTTCGAAAGCTTCTAATCTGTTTATATCCCTCGTTTTGAGTGTCCAGCCCTCTACGCCATATAGCAGCACTGACCATACGTAGCACTTAGTAAACCTTAGTCTCAGTTGAAGATCGAACTCTGAACAAGTCAGTACCTTCTTGAATTTTACGAAAGCTTGTCGAGAAAAGCTTGCTCAATGCGACATTTTACTTCCCTGTCCGATGCCCAGTCTTCAAAAAGCCACGATCCCAGGTATTTAAATTTACTCACTCTTTCAATGGATTTAGTATTCAGTGTTATGGTGGAGTTTTCAAGTGCATCCAAGTTTCTGGAGATGATCATGAATTTGGTCTTTTTGGTATTAATCTCTAATCCCATTCGCTTACTGTATTCTCCGATTATAGTGACAAGTTGTTGAAGATCGACTATGTTGTCACAAATTAAGACACCATCATCAGCATATCGTATGTTGTTGATCAATACTCCATTCACCTTGATTCCCATCTCTGTATCCTCCAAAGACTCTTGAAATATGGCTTCCGAATAAATGTTAAATAAAAGAGGGGAAAGCACACATTCCTGTCGAACGCCTCTTCTTATATGTATGGTTTTGGATATAGAATTGTCTATTTTTAACTGTGCCGTTTGATGCCAGTACAAGTTTTCAATGCATCTTATGTCTTTTTGGTCTATATCAACGTTCTTGAGAATCTGCATTAACTTGTGGTGTTGGACACGATCAAACGCTTTTTGGTAATCTAAAAAGCATAGAAACACATCCTTCCTCTGATCGTAACAATTTTGGACCAGCACCTGTGTTGCTAATCTTTGATGTAGTATTTTTAAGAATATCTTTAAAGTGTGACTCATCAGGCTAATGAGTCTGTGATCCTCACATCTTTTTGCATTGACTTCAAAATTAAAACATTACCCCATTCCAAAAGCATTTTGAATATTTTAAAAGAGTCAATGAATACCTTTAGATATTGAGACCAAAATTGCTGACCATATTAAGACTATAGAAAAATGGGGTTTTGGCCTATCAAAAAAAGAAATTTTGTTAGCTATTGGACAATATGTGTCCGAAAATAACATAAAAACTCCATTTAAAGATTATATACCGGGAGATGATATTTTTTTTAAGTTTCAAGTGCCGATATGGACTTTCTTAAAATAAGCTACAATTAGTTGAAGTGGTCCGTAAAAAGTTTAGATCCATTTGTAATTGCAGAGTACTTTGACTTGATGAAAGAAATTACTTCGAATATACCCCCTGAGAGGATTTATAATCTAGATGAAACCAGTTTCTGACTAGATCCTAGTCGTGTAAAAGTAGCAGGTGAAAAAGGAAAAGTCGCTCATCGAGTTTCCACTGGTCCTGACAAAGAAAACTTTTTTGTCTAAATGGATAGCAATACTACAGGAGAAAAATTACCACCCCTAATTATATTCAAAGGAAAAAATATTTGGGATACATGGCTATCAAAAAAAGATGACGAATATCCAGGAAATACATATGGAGCAACAATAAATGGATGGATGGAAACGGAAACATTTTCTAATTATATTGAACATACGTTACTTCTGAATATTCTAAAGAGAGACCCGTTGTTCTGATCTATGATGGACACTCTTCACACACATCAATTGCCCTTATAGAAACTGCTTTAAGTGAAGACATAATTATTTTAAAACTACCGCCACATACTAGCCATCTCCTACAGCCAATGGATTTGGCTGTGTTTAAGCCCTTTAAAACAGATGTACGATGAAGCTCTTATAAAGTGGCAAAGAAGAAATTACGGTACAAAGGTACCAAAATCTATATTTTCATCTATAATTTCACAAGTATGGAAGGAGATGAGATTAAACCATATTAGAAGTGGTTTTAGTAAGGCCAGTATTTACCCATTCTGTAGTACAGTGATTCCCGTTGAAACATTTGAACCTGAGGCTTTCAAAAGATTTCAATATCATAACTCCAAGAAGGCATCATTAGTGAAAAATAGGAATGACCCTGGTGATACCCCTCAACAAGAAGAAATGTCCGAAAATACCAGTGGCAGCCAAGCAACACATTTGGTCAGAAGTATTATGTTAAAAGACAAACAGTGTCTTCAAAATGATAATCAGAATCATGCATTAAAAACGTTTCCTGAAAGAAATTCCTTCGAATCTATTTTACTCCAACATGTCAAACAATCCCCGTTAAACCAGCAAAAGCGTAATAAAATCTATTCTGGCGCTAAGATCATAACACACACTGACTATTTAGCAAAAATGCAGATACAACAAGACAAAAAGAACGTAAAATCCAATAAAACGGAAAGGAAAAGGATAAAGAAGAAGGAAACACAATCCGACAGCAGTGATGATGACCAAAGGAGGCTCAAATCATATTTATTATGTCGCTAAAATTTTGCATTGTTTTGATACTGAAGTTAAAGTTAGTTGCATTCGAAAATGCATAAAATATGACGGAAAATATTATTTTCTTACCATACCAGACATATCAGTCGTATTAAAGTTCCAAATTGAATTTGTATTGCCAAAACCATTAAGTTTTTCCCAACTTACAAAAAGGCAACAAGCTTTAATTCCGTTTCATATTTCTCCAAATCGCTATAATGTTCGCTATAAAACTTTTATTACAAATGTATTCAGAAATGGTTTTTTTATTATTTCTACTTGCCTCAGAACGATTTACATTGAATTCAATATATAAATTCGGATAGGTTTCCACTTGCCTCTTGCCATGTAGAAAATGTGGGGCAAGTGGAAACCATGTCAAAGGATTGAAATTTTTTGTTAGAAAAAAGTTCTTTTATTTTTTAACACCGCATTCGTATTGGAAAATAGTGTAAGTCTTATCTGTCGGTAACCTAATAGAGTGGATATAAAACTAATTTTTTTAGAAGATCTTAAACAGAAATGAATGATTTTCTAGGTTCCTCTTACCCCACTGTACCTTAAAATAAAATTACTCGAGCAGGAAATGCACTCTAAGATGAATAACTGTGCTCTTTTACAGGTTTTTAGACACGGCAGGTGTCAAAAAATGTGTTATATTTGTAGCTAATAATATAAATAATAAAGATGATCAAACGAGACAAAGTCTACAATGCTTTTTGTAAGGTGTTCGCGTTTGGCTTCATAGAAAATCATTTAAAAGAAAGAGCAAAGAAAAATGGTTTTCTATACTACGTTCCACGTTTAGAAAATAACATTGCGGAGATAGGGCCATGCATGATACTATGAATAACAAGATAGGATCTTCCCGTAGCTCAAAATCGGTCGGGTTCGCGCATGCCGTCATTGGAGACTAGAATTTGAATTCTTGTTAAAGTTAAATGAGATTTGTATGCATTCTGTGATGAAATTACTAGACGAAAATAAGTTAAGAGGTTTAATAATTACAATAATCGTACACATAAGGATATCTCCAAACTATTTATTAAAGATTATTTATTGATATATACAAAAACTGACATTTCGAACGTGTAAGTCTCCAATGACGTCACAAAAACATGCGCAATATCTTATCTTATAGTCATATAGTCACCTCGGGGTAAATGGAAGGGGTCTTGCCACCTTCTGTACCACCGTGTGCTCTGTAGAGGGGCTTCGAAAACATCGTGAGCTCCTCTACTTTTGTCCATTTTCAGGGTATGGACTTCAAAATGTTTTGTTTCCTGATGACTCGTCTTAATAAAGACGAGAGATTTCTTACATGACAAATATCTTACATGATAGTTGTCGAAATAAACATCAGGTTTGTTGTCTTCGATGTCTTGCCTTGAAAAAGGCAAGTTATTTCTTACATGACCAAATATATATAGGTCGAAATAAAACACCAAAAATACAGTAGAAATAATACTCAGCCACAGAGTATGGAAAGCTAAAAGGGAAGCAGAGCCCCGAGAGCACTAAGCTCTCAGAGAGCCCGTGAAGGACTGAACTTGATTGACCTGAAAATCGCCTATTTTTATACTTTCTGGAGTAGCGATTAGGGATTTCCAGGTCAGGGAGGGGCCAACGGGAAAAATAAGGGGTGGGGCGATGCGTCTCGAACGTGAACTAGTTGCGTCCGAGAACAATAGTATCATGGGGCCATGTATTATATTTCTTATGGACGATAGCAACGCGGCGTTGCCACGACACACACAAGCACAATTTAGGGTTGTATAATTTGTATTTTTGTTTCCACAAACATGAATTAAATTAATGCTTTTTAACGTAATTGACCAAAAGTGCCCATTCGAAACAAGAGATGAAAAGTAGGGAAAATGATTTTAATTAGATAAATAGTATTTACAAAAGATAATTTTATTTTATCTTATTTTAATTATAGTAACGATAGTTTATTTGTTTTTCGGTGAGAATACGATATGACATGAATCATAGAAATCAGTAGAAAATATTGACCGCTTGGAATGCGTATATATCTAATTACTAATTGCAACTTAAAATAATACGATGTGCGTATGTCAGCTATTTTATGTCGTTCTCTGACTACATAATGATAATAAGACTTTTATTTAGTAGTTATTCTGACTTTACAGTTAAGTGTTAATTGAAAATGAAAATTCAAAAATTAAGCAAAGGGAATATCTTGGACATCCGTGCAAAAGAGAGTGTCTGAGAGTTTTGGCAACACTGATCTCCATAAGCGTAATGTTATTTTCTTAACTTGAAACAAAGAATAGAAGATATAAAACTATCGCTTGAAAAACCCAACGAAGAGCAAGTGTCATAGTTCAAGCACAAGGCAGACCTTGACCTTGAGCCGCACGTGAGCAACACAAAACACAAAACTAGTAAAAGCATAGTGATGAAACACAAATTATATAGAACCTTGGTACGTACCACATTTATAGATATTTCTTTTTCCCATATTGCATCGTTTAATATTCCCGCATTATTAAATACTATATCCAGATACTTATATTGTTCCACAGTTTTCTTAAAGGCATCTGAAAGTGTAAATATTAAATAATAGTGCAGTTTGATAAAAAATCAAGGATTTAATTTTTTTGTTTGCTAATGCAATTATTGTTGCATTGTTTACTTATGATAAATATATAAATTAGTCTTTCAATTATTATACTGTTGATAATTTAATTTATTATCTACAATTTTAATTCAATAAAATTTTATTTTCGTAAACTTTGTTTATTGTGAACTTGGTTTTTTATGACCTCTCTCCATGACTTTTAATGATAGAAAACTGCATAGATACAGTGGGTGATTAAGGTATTAACATGATATATTATAGTTAAACTTTTTGTTTAAAAATAGTTTATAATTAAGCTACATAACAGTACATAGTCTGACAACTTTATTTGAAAGCTATGTGGTATATTTGTATTTACTCTTAATTATGGGGAGTTAACCCATGAAGGACGAAGTTTTCGAAAATCTTTATTTTACATAAATAATACAAATAACTCTTATGAATGGACAAAACTTGGAAAAAAACAAAATGGAAAAAGACAAAAATAATTATTAAATATATTAAAACCTAAAAATATTGCCTGTTGCCAAATGGCAACGCTAGGTTCCTATGGCTACATTAACCGAATGAAATAAAAGTAAAAAATATTCTATGAAATTGAGAGATAATCGACAAAAAACTTTCTATAGCTGTGTATGAAATTTAACATTAGGTACACTTTGTGCATAAAACCTACTTCACATTTGGCGCATCTTGTTCTCATGATCGACCTGCATTCTTCACCTGCACACCTAATTTTCTTTTTATTTGGTACTGGTTCCAGTAAATGCCCAACTCCATCGTATCTAATATGATCAGATACTCTATGAAAGCAACGACTTGAGAATGAACTAGACGGTCGGCCACCTTGTTTTGCAGGCACTCCGTATTTGGTCAGATAGGCTTGTACAATTTCACGCCTAAACTCTAACTGTGTCAACTTGTTGCCGGATTTTTTATGTAGCAACCACGCATTTTGTATAGTCGCATCTAGCATCCAGGTAATCAAGCTCCAGTACCATTTTTTGCCCTCATTCCTATTCTAAAGCGGTTTATATTTTCGTCCATTAGGTCGGTGTCCCCCATTGCATTATTATATTTACTAATCAGGCATGGACTTTGAACCTGGATGATTTTCTTTTCAGCTTATGAATATCTTTTCACGAGCGATTGTGGTTCCACCCCATTACATGTTGACGCTACACTTACGACGCTGTTATCCAACCATCTTACAACTATAATACCAGTTTCTCTTTCGAGAATCGATGCTACATCACCCCTTTTGCGTTTTTGCATAATAGCTTTCGATTCTATAGAGCAGTTTTTGGGAATGCGATTTTCCCGTATTGTTCCGGTAAGGCTATAGCCACGATCCTTTATATGTTTCAAAAGGTGCAGGCTCGTAAATAAATTGTCGCAGAAAAATTTGTAGGGTAATCTTGATTTATCATTGGGCAGTTCATCGAGCATTGTGACGAATGGAGCCGCACATGCTCCAAAAACTTTATAATAATGATTATTTGCTTTGGGATCGGTTCCTTGGTACATGTTGAAGCTTACAAGATACCCACTTTTAGTGTTGAGGCACCAAACTTTGTATCCGAAACGAATCGGCTTTCCTTTTATGAACTGTTTACATGAGTGGCGTCCAAAGTATTTCACCATAGATTCGTCGTAATTTAATTCGCCTTCAGGGACGTAATATTCTTTATATTTTTTCTGTAAATAGTCAGCTGAGGGTCTGATCTTGTAATATTTGTCCCTTTCATCGATGGCTTCATTATTTGCAAGGTGGAAAAAACGCCAAATTGTAAGGAACCGATCTCTTCGCATAGCGTTCATGACCATTGCATTACCCATATCGCCTTTCGTATCCCAGTAAAATTTTTTCCCGGGAGCCAATTATACCCCGATAGAATCAAAATAGCAAAGAAACACCTCATTTCTCCTGCGGAAATTTTGGGGTCGGGAAAGTTCTTCTGTAGTGCATAACTCGTGCATTGGTTGAGAATGTAACTAATTATATCCTCGTCGAAAAATAATTCGAACATCTCAACAGGTGTCAACGTATTGAATGGTTCGTAGCTATATTCTGGGAAACTAGCGGCATTGTCGACCAAATCACCCGTTATCCAATTTAGGGACTCGTATTCAATTTTCTTCACTTGAGAGGTAGTTTGTGGGATGAAACTTCCGCTGCTTTCCTGGGAAATATCCATCGCTTGAACTGCATCTTCTTCGATGTCGTCATCCTCCTTGTCTGCTTCTTCGCCATACATTTGCACCTCAACATTTGCTTCCAGCTGTTTTCTAGACAGATTGTCGATGAATCCTCCCCATCCTCCTCGCCAGAATCTTCATCAGTGAGGTCTCCAATATTTGGGGGCTCAACATTAATATTTCTAACGTTGACGTCATCTTCGTAAACCATGCTCAAAGCTTCTTGTAGAGAGAAACCCCGCCTGAAAAAACAAGATGTCTGTAGATACTAGCGTTGCCATATGGCAACGCGATGAATAAAAACAAAATATTGTAAAAGATCCCTTTTTTTTAAGGGTTGTCAAATATTCACAGAGGGAAAATGACCTTTCTATTAGAGCATAATTGTTACTTTAGCCACTTAGATGTAATAGTTATTCAGAAGTAATTGACAAATTGAGCTACTTACACAAATCTTATATCCATTTTTACAACTATCAAAAACGGTGACTATAAAATCTCACAAACACCAACGAATTAAGTTTTTGTTAGGTGTATATCTTCAAATCACTTATTTTCTGCAGACCGGCACGTTCTTGGAAACAAAACAAACTAACATAACCTCAAAATAATAAGATTCGTACGTCAATACCAGTGTTGCCATATGGCAACTCCAGTCCTTCATGGGTTAAACAAACAGTTTTATCAGAATCTTAAATCATTTTGAAATTTCACATTTATTAAATGTAATTTTAAAAATTATTTTAAATTTAAAAAATAGTCTTACCTTCTAATTGTTGAATATTTGTTACGTCAGCTTTTAGGAATATCGCTTTGTCCTTGCCAAATTCGGAGTTTATTTGTTGTACTGCTTTTTCGCCCAAACTGTCATTTAAATCTACCAATGCTACACCCTGCAAAAAGGCTCAATGTATACTCTATACTTATAGTAATACCTCGACTACCCTGACTTAAGCGAACCCAGAGTTACGCGATTTTCAAATCTTGTCTGTTCAAAGTAAACATAATTAAGATTTTAATACAACAATGAAATTTTAGTTAGCAAAGAAGTTTAATCTGTCGAATCGACGGCCAGAACAATTATAAAGGGCAAAGAAAAAAATCTCAAAACTGTGAAAAGTGTGCAATCTTTAAATTCCATCGGACAAGCAATGTCCAGCACAAAAATAAGATGAATAAATTTTTTTTTAATAATTAAGAGCTAAATGAATTATATGTACTATGTTATAGATTAGATGTACTATATGTCCGCTCTATAAGAAGATAAGAAGACAAGATTGTACTTCGTTAACTGGGAAATATTCTGAATAAAAATTTGTATAAAATTAAAAATATCTAAATAAAACTTACTTTTAAGTTATTTCGTAAGAGTGCTTTACTTAATTCTAATCCAACACCACCTGCCCCGCCAGTAATTAAAGCTACTTTTCCTTTAATGTCGAACATATTATTCCAAAACTGTTCTGTTGTCGTTACAAACGGTTTTCTTCCGAAACTGTTTTTCCCAATCTTTTATATGTGTCAAGAAAATGTTATCATAATTTGAAACACTTCATTCATTCCATAACAAACACTGACATACTTTTGTGAAGGTTAAATTTAAATAATCAAAATACATAGTTAAAAATAAATTAAATATATCTTTTACAATTGCAGTTGATACTCCCTTAAATTGATAACTGATATTATTTATTTGATGGGTATTTCCTACTTTAAATCGGGAATTTGATTGAAAATCGTGTGTTTTTTTCGAGATTTAATTTTTTTGCATTTAAAATTAGCGATATCTCGACAACAATTTTTTTGTGGAGTAGTAGAACAGTAAAACTTATGCACTATTCTAAATGCACTATTTATATTAGCTGAATTAAACATGTTTCTTTTAAAAATTTAAAAACACTGTCAAAACGGTTTGGAACACTAAGAATGTCTTCTAGATTTCCTTTTAGGCTGTTCTTGTTTCTAGAAGAATCATAATAGCAGCAGTGCACTACCACGTGTTTGACGGAAAGAACGGTATTTACAGTAGTGGCATCTTCTTCTTCTCACGGTGCCTATCCGTTCTGGATGTTTGAGATCAACATAGCTATCCTAACTTTGCTTGCTACTATTCTGAATGGTCCGGTTGTTGATGTATTAAACCACTTTCTCAGGTTTTGAAGCCAAGATATTCTTCTTCTCCCTGGTCCTCTTTTTCCAAACACCTTGCCCTGAAGAATGAGTTGTAACAAGCCGTATCTCTGTTCATTCCTGATAACATGGCCAAGATATTCTAGTTTGCGCTCTTTGATGGTGTTAATAATCTCGCATTACTTGCCTATTCTACGTAGGACCTCAACATTAGTCACAAGATCCACCCATGAAATTCTTAAAATACGTCTGTAACACCACATCTCGAATGCCTCGAAAGGAGCTTCGGAAAGTGTCCAGGTCTCTACTCCGTATAATAACGTAGAAAATACATAGCATCTAATGAGAGAGATTTTGGTAGCAAGTGGTAAATCGTGACTTCTGAAAAGAGACTTCATCATTATGAACGCTGATCTCGCTTTTCCTATGCGTTGTTTTATTTCACTGGAGTGATCCCATTGGCTGTTAATGTTGGTACCAAGGTATGCGTAGCTGTCCACTCTGTTAACTGGATGTTGGTTAACCAAAAGCTGTGTATTTAGTATTTCGCGCTTACTGACTACCATGTTTTCTTCGTATTAAGAGCAAGTCCGTGTTCTCTACTTATATCTGATATACGCTACATTATTATTTGCAAACCTTCCAGACTATCTGCAAAAACTACTACGTCGTCGGCATATCGAATGTTGTTTAGACGCATTCCGTTGACTAATACGCCTTCTTGTAGTTCTCCCAGCGCTTGCTCGAAGATATATTCAGAGTATATATTAAATAACACCGGGGACAGAATGCATCCTTGCCTCACTCCTCTATCTATGGAGACTGCCTCTGTTAATTGGTCATCCACTTTAATATTGGCTGTTTGGTTGTAATATAAAAAATTATAGATGATTCTTAAGTCTCTATCATCTATCCCCACTTCTTTCAAGATATTTATAAGTTTATCATGCTTTATTGTATCAAATGCCTTTTTGTAGTTGATAAAACAAATATACACATCACAGTTAACATCCCTGCATCTTTGCATAACCGCTTGTGCAACGAATAGAGCCTCTCGGGTGCCTAGGGAATCGCGGAATCCAAACTGCATCCATGATACTTGTTCTTCGCATTTTTTATATATTCTGCCGTGTATCACTTTCAAGAACGTTGTAAGTAAGTGGCTCATTAGGCTACTTGCTCTATAGTCTTCGCATGTCTTGTCATTTACTTTTTTTTTGTACGGTTTCGAAGGTCGACTTTAACCAGTTTTGGGGTATTTTTCCAGTTACATATATGTTGTAGAATACAGTTGTTATCCATTTTATTCCCTGTTCATTCATAAGTTTTAGGAATTCTGCACAAAACTCGTCAGGCCCTACCGCTTTACCATCTTTAATTCTTTTAATAACTGACGTGACTTTTTCAATAGTAATCGGGGGTCCTGTTTGGCATTCAATGTCTTCAATGGTATTCTGTCTTTCATCTGCAAAAGTTACTTCCACATAATTCTTTCAAGTGTCTAGTTTTCTTTCCACAGTTGACAGTGGTTTGCCTTGGTTATCTGCCAAACACCCAACTTTTCTAGGTTTGTATAAGCCTGCGGCTTCTTTAACTTTTTTGTGCATATTAAATGAATCGTGTTTATGTTGCAATTGCTGTATTTCCGCACACTGTTTTTTTATATGTGTATCCTTAGCTATTCTAATAGCTTTTTTGATCTTTTTATTGATTCCTTTGTATAATATGTTTTGATCTTTGAACTTTTATTTGTCATCTACGATTTCTTCTTTATTTTTGGTTTGAGAAATTTCTCTCCTATGTTTTTTGAAACTGTATGTAACTTTTCTAGCTCCTGGTCCATTACATCCGATTGAATAACCGTATTGAAATTGTTCTGTATATACCGCTTTACACTATGTTCTGTGTGGTGGTCTTTTAATAGCTTGATGTCGAATTTTGGATTGACACTATGTCTAACCTTCTTTAGCCTGAGCCTAATTTTGTCAATAAGTGGGTTATGGTCTTACTGGATATCAGCTCCTGGACATGTCTTGAATGTTGTTATGCTGTTCCGGAATCTTTTAATAATCAGAATGAAATCTATTTAATTTCTCACTATGCGGCCTGGAGTATCTTGAGGTAATTTTCATGTATATAATTTTATGTGTGGGAGTTTGAAGTAAGTGCTAGTGATGACAAATTCTTCTTCTGCTACAAATTCACCCACTTGGTCTCCTCGCTCATTTCTTTCTCCAAGTCCAAATTGTCCTATGAATTCTCCCGATTGTCCCCTACCAATTTTGGCATTTAGATCACCCATAATCAAAGTTAAATCCATTCTGGGGAGGGGTTTTAAGGTGTTCGATAGTTCGTTATAAAATGCTTCACTTATCTCGTCCGGTCTGTCAGCTGTAGGGGCATATACCTGGATAATGTTAGATGTAATTGGGTAGGTATTAAGTTGAAGGAGGAGTATTCTTTCCGATATAGGTACAAAGTTTTTAACATGTTTAACAGTTTCTTGATTTAAGATTATACCTACCCTATTTTCGTGTCTTCCATTAGGGTCACCTGAGTAATATATATGATGATTATTAATTTTACATTGCCCAGAGTTCGTCAATCTTATCTCACTTATTCCCATTATGTCTATTGATAATCTATCCATCTCCTTGATTGCATTATGAGTATTGCCTGCATCATAGAATGTTTTAACATTCCATGTGCAGATCGTGAGGTTTCTCTCTCCACTATAATGGCAAGGATTTCTTCTGCTGGCAACCGAGAAGGTGTTGCCGTCTTGTGATTGTCCTTCTTTGCCGGATCTTGATATCCGAATTCTATGATTAGTAATATGGTTTCTATGATTTTTCGTAGTCATGTTAATTGTACTAGGGGTACTCTCCGAGTCTTTAATCCAGTGGTTTCCCGTTGCATTCTGCATCGTTATGCCGTTGAGCGTTACGTTGTTAATAGGTTCATTCGCCTTCGAGACCGATTTACCAATCTCAGGACAAAAGGGTGCCCTTCCACTTATCAGCTCATCCGCCCGAAGCCGTTGGCCAATAATTAGGGGGATTGCGTAGTAGTGGCATATTGGAGGGTTTTCTGATGCCAAAAGCACAAAAGTTATCCATGTGTGAGACGTGCATGTAATATTCGTAGATTATTCTTTCCTGTTCATAGAAGACATATTGAGGCAAGTTAAGTCGGGTTGAACTCATGTAGCGTGGTTTTTGTTTTATTTCATAGGTCTTCCCATGAGCTGAGGATTTTTTGTTAAATCCATATCTTAGGGGTATTGTAGTATTTGGAAGGCTAATCAGAATCTAATAGACAATATTTGCGATAATGTGAGTGTTTGATTGTATGCTCTTATCGGGGAAGACTCTGAGATTGGTTAGATTTATAACCGGGTTAGGGTTTGATGATATTCTTACAAATTATGAAAGTAATAGTTGTTGAAAATTCAACACAAAGATTTTCAACAGAGCTTGATTAAAAAGCACCAAGACATAGATGTATTTTAAATCTTCTTTATTAACTTTAATACTTATAAATCGTGTTTAAATTTTGCGTATAAACAGTTTTCCTGTTTAATTTATTGTTTACACATATTCACAACTTAATTAGTGAAGTGTATAGTATTAATTTCGTGTGACAAAACGAGTCCAGCTGTTCAAAGCCGATGAAAAACACTGTACCACATTATGATTACTTAATAAATCAATATATTAGTAAATTATTAATTATTATTATAATTTAGAACAAAGTACTACTTGATAAAGTTTAAGATACATATCTTATTACGGAAGACAGTGTAAATTTTCATAAATACGATATTATGGTCTTATATTTCTTATTCAGGTTATGTCTACCTAATAAGGTGCGATCGTGGTTTCCTGTTATAGTTAATAAATGTTTAAAGTATTATATGAACCGGAATGTTTATAAAATATATTTTAAAACCACTACATGTATTCATATTCATATTTCATTACTTTGTATTCAAAGATTGTTTTTTAAATATAGTATTTATATAGTATCAAAAATGAATCTCATTTAAATAATAAAAAAGAATTTTTTTTAGTATAACTAATAAATTACCAATCAGAAAAAAGCAATGTATTCTATAAGTTAATGTAATGAGTTTAGGTCCTGTCCCTTGGTTCTGGCGTGATGTGGTCCCCTCCAGTGAGAGAATCACGGGTCCATGTTACTGGTCCGTCGGCCAACGTCGCTTTAGTCTTCTGATAACTCGATGTTGAGGTATTGCGGAAATTAATGGATTGGAGTGTGTGCTCACTTTTTGAATGTATTGTAATTTCTTTTGCTTGTATACTTTTTTTTAACCTATTCTCTATCCTTACATTGTTGGATATAGGTCTCCCCCAGTTCTCTCCATCTTTCCCTATCTTGAGCTGTTCTCTGCCATGTGGGACCTCCCTGTTTCCTGATGTCAACTTTCCACCTCATCTGTGGTCTTTCTCTTGATCTCTTTGCATTGTATGGACGCCACTTTCCGATGGCATTGTTCCATCATCCGTCTTGGAGACGTTCATTGTGTCCAGTTCATTTCCATTTCAGTTTTGCTGCTTGTTCTATCGCGTCTACTGTCTTTGTTCTGATCCACTGGTTACGTTTTAAGTGATATACCCAACATTTGTCTCTCCATCGCTCTTTGTGCCTTCCTTATCCTACCCAAATTGGCCTGTATAAATGTCCATGTCTGTGCTCCGTAGGTGAGCACCGGTATTATACAAGAGTTATATACCTTGCTTCGTAAGTATAGAGGGATTGTTTGATGTTTTAGAACGTAAGAAAATTTGCCGAACGCTGCCCATCCCATTCTTGCTCGTCTCGATATTTCGGCTGTTTGATTTTCTCGGTTAGCTCTGATTGCTTGTCCTAGATAGATATACTCATTTACCTGTTCTATTTTTTCTGTTTGTATTTTTATTGCCTCTTGGTCTTCCGTGTTTGTCATTACTTTTGTTTTGTTGAAGTTAATTTTTAGGCCTTTTTGCAGTGATTTTTCATGAAGTTCATTCAGCATTAATTCCAGTTCTTGTCGTTCCGAGGAGATCCGGAGTATATCATCCGCATATCTAAGGTGATTTAGGTATTTTCCGTTAAGACATATTCGTCTGTTTTCCCAATCTGTTGATTTTATTATGTCTTCGAGGGTCAAGGTAAACAGTTTAGGTGAAATTATATCGCCTTGTCGGACTCCTCGTTTAACTTTTATATTATCCGTTATTAATTTTTCGTCCAGAATTACGGTCATGGTTGCGTTTTGGTAAATATCATTTGATCGTTCTTTTACTGTTGAGATATTGAGATCTTCATAGATTCTTTGGTTGGTTACTTACCAGGGTGCATCAATAACTGCTCTTAAGATTTTTGATTGGATTCTTTTTATAATAGCAATATTAGATTTACTACTACAGCCCCACAGCTCTATGCCATGTGTCCATATTGGTTTGATAACTGTTTTATAAATTAAAATTTTATTATTTATTGACAGCTTGGAGTTTTTTCCAATTAACCAATTGTTTTCTTTTTGTTTTGTTGTTGGTTTGTTGGGAATCGCCTTCGGTTACATTCTTCAACAATGTGACGGACGGTCTATCGGTGCGCACCATAGTCACATTCAGGAGTAAGGGCTTTTCCCCATCTATATAAGCTGTCAGCACATCTACCGCTGCTTGTTCTTATTCTGTTTAGTGTTGTCCATGTATTGCGGGTCAGTTCAAAGCCTGGCGGTTTCTGATCGATACAGGCCATTTGATGTGCTTCCTGTGGTGAGTCGCTCTCCCATTGTGTTCTCCAAGCTTTGATCAGGTTGAAATGTTCCTGATGTAAGGAGTTGGCTCTTAGCAATGGAGGATATCTGGAGCGCAGTCTGTTTATTTCGATATCAAGCTTATCTTGGTGGATGGGTAGTTGATGGTTAGCCTCAATTTTTCGATATTCTCTGAGAAGAGAATGTCTTCTTCGCAGTTTCGGCGGTGAAATGTGACTCAGAATGGGAAGCCAATAGTTCGGTGTGGGTCTAATTATACCTGATATCATTCGCATTGTCTGGTTTAATTGAGTGTCAATAATCTTTGTGTGTTTGCTATTGAGCCATACCGGGGAAGCATATTCAGCCACCGAGTATACAAGTCCGAGAGCGGATGATCTGAGTACGGAGGCTGAAGACCCCCATGTAGTGCCACATAGCTTTTGGACTATATTATTTCTCGTTTTCGGCTTTGCTGTCGTTCTTTGAAGATGTTCTTTAAAACTCAATGTTCTGTCCAGAGTCACTCCAAGATATTTTGGTGTTAAGTTATGAGTGAACAGTCTGTTTTCGAAGTGGACGGAGAGTTTTTTGTTGGCTTGGGCATTATTCAGATGGAAACAGCACATTTCGGTTTTCATTGCATTAGGCCGTAGCCTCCATTTGCGAAAGTATTCTCCCATAATGGCAAGGTCATTTGCTAATATTGTTTCTGTGATATCCATGTTATTATATATTGCTGCAATGGCCCAATCGTCAGCGTAGCCAAATTTCTGCGAAGTTGTCCTAGGTAGGTCCGCGATATATAAATTGAACAGTAAGGGTGTCAAAACAGATCCCTGTGGCAGTCCATTGCTGAGCTTCATTTGGAAACTTTTAGAATTGGCTATTGTGACTTGAAAAGGTCTGTCGGTGAGCATGTTATCAATGAGTTTAGTTACCTTTTGACACGGGACGGCACGGATTAGTTTACAGATTAGTCCTTGTCTCCAGACAGTATCGTATGCAGCTGATAGGTCAATGAAAGCAACGTATGTTTTTTGTTTTCTTTGAAAACCAGCTTCAATATGTGTTGTTAAGGATAGGATCTGATCTGTGCAGCTGCGGTTAGGTCTAAATCCTGCTTGCTCAATAGGTATCAATTCAAATACGTTTCTACTAATTCTGTTGTAGATTAAACGTTCCAACAGTTTATAAACACAGCTCAGCAAAGCAATCGGACGGTAGTTTTGAGGCTAATTATTTGCCTTTCCTGGTTTTAATATGACTATAATGGAGGGCTTTTTTAACGAATGGGGGATTTCTCCTGATTTTAACATATCTGTATAGAAATCAGCAAGCCATTTCCTAGCATATTTGCCACAGTGAAGTAAAAATTATGGATGAATTTTATCGGAGCCGGGTGCCTTTCCAGACTTAATTTCTGATATAGCTGAAATAATTTCTTCTGGAGTAAACTCGTCCTGTGGAATTCACGCCTTAATGGGATGCATTTAAGATATTTTTCCATTTACTTTTGTTCTGTCGGTTTTCCAAGTATGATGTAAGGATTCGAAAGAATGGTCGTAATATTTGTTTAATTTTATAAAGAAGTCCTTTATGCCAAACCTTATCAAAAGCTTGACGTACATCTAGTGATACCATTGGGCAATATTTGGACAACATTTGGAACAATTTTTTACACAATTTAGTGTAAATTTGAGTTGACGCCTACAAATGTCGAGGGAAGTATGGGAGGTGTAACAAAATTATAAATTAAAATAGAGTTTATTCCATTCAAAACAATACAAAAATAATGTTAAATATAACAGTAACACGTAAAAATTACAGGTATTAAAAATAAACTGTAGGAAATAACTGTCAGAGATTCAATTGGTTAAAGCTACCTTATTCACTAAAAAATAAATATACAAAAAATTTCGATATTTTTAGTCACGTTGATTAAAATTAAATGGCGAATCTTAAAAATATGAACAAGTTTTGGCTTTAATTTATTATATCACGCTATACTACAATTTCGTTTATTATATTCCAGCAATCTCTATATAATATTTTTTGCTGTATTTTATGGAGAAGCACTAGCGGAAAACACATGTATAGGAAATCACGAACGACAACGGTGGTAAATATGGTTGCGGTGGGTGCTTACGGAGTGATTACCTTATATTATTTTTCAGTCGTGAATTTTCGTTAGCAGAAGCGCTAGATATGGTTTACGGTAACGAGAAAAATCAATAATATCTTTATAACACCGCCAGATGTAAATGGTACAGATACAGAGGAGAATTCTGCGAATGAAGTTGAAGGTGAATTCGTAAATAACTTAACAGGTGCTTAGTTGTACAAATAATTGTTTATTTTTATAGGTAAGCAGCTACGAGCTCAAGCAGAAATACTGATTAAGATTAAGATTATTCTAGGTATGAAAATCTATGATGTCTTCATATCTTAAGTATATTTTTTGATGACGAGACAGTAAAGTACTTACCGGAAGAAACCCAACGATATGCACAATTTGTAAACCAAACTGACCAATGCATTAACATCTGGAGAAATACGTTGTTTTATAGGTATTCTCCTGCTATCGGGATACAATCCATTACAAGGGATCGGGATACAAGAGAATGTATTGGAATACCCATGATGATGTAGTGCCTAATGTCCAAAGCCTAATAGCCTCGCAAGATATGGAAGTCCTCCCTTATATACAGGAAAACTTAGTCTAAATAGACAGAACTTGCCGGATCTTTATTTTGATCGCATGAAAAAGAACGCAAAAAAAATTTGGTTTCGACAATACTAAAAATTTTCATCTAATTAACCCTAAAAGTAAAGATTAAAAAAAAAGAAAGTAACTGTCTTTTCTACATGTTTATTACAGATTAGATCAGAAGATCTTTGGAATATTAGTAAACGAGGAATAGCCTAGATTTATCAGCATTTAAAGCTGTATGACAGATGATGACAGTGACGAGTTACATCATAATCAATAAAAGGAAGTTTTGACCGATATGTTGTTCGAAAATTTGAAATGCTATTGTTAAGAACTTTGATAGAAAATAATCACACTTTAAAGCTAACTATAACATTTTATGCTACTTTGAAACAGTTACTACTAAGGCAGTCCAGACAGGATCGCAGAGTTATTCCAAAATATTACGCCTGGTTGTCTTAGATGGGGAGTGAGTCAACTAAGTGTATACTTGTACTGAGCAAGTAACGCTTGAAATCTGTGCTTCTAAAGATTATTTATTCCTTATATTACGCTTCTCTTACATCTAGTAGGTCTAGTTTACTCGATGCGACAAATCAGTTTTATATTAACATTCTATATCGCTACCGATGGCTATAAACCGCGTTTATGGTCATTGTACTTGATCGTGTATCTGTATATGTGATCTCCGCTTTACATAGACAAAAAATAACGTTTCAAATATGGGACAGTCTATAAACATATATTTCATTTAGTGCTAATAAGAAAGTTTCCATATTATGTTTGTTTAATTAGCAGATTAATACGGTTTTATGATATTAGTTCAAGTTTGTGCTTAGTTTAATCACTATAGATGTACAGGAAACATCATAAGCTATCCTTAAAATCCTTTTAAGGAAGTTGCTAACGGTGACCGACTATTAAAGACACGTAATGTCCTGCCTAGATTAAGAAGAAGAAGAGATACATACATCTTTATCAATATTATTGTAATATTAATAAAGATTAATTAAATATTAATACACAAGTAGATGCTGTTTTCCTGATTTCCTTTTCCAATCTTCTCCGTCATATACCATTTCTTCACAGCATTGCGCACCTGATTCGCATATTCCAAAACCGCCTAGATTTTGCTCGATTTTTTCGACATAGTGTAGTCCAATGCAACATTTTTTATCCGTAATAGGTTGTCAAATAATGTTAGTCATCTGAATTATATTATATCCAATTTTTTTAACGTTGCTCTTATTTGGTTTCTAATACTTACTCCCCTTTGTCGTGTACAAAAAATTATGATTTCTTAGTCCAGTAGTGGGCTGTACCTAATGCTAGTTGATTGCCTGTTCATAAGTTCTCAAGAGTGCATCTATGCGTTTTCGTTTGGCTAGTAGATGTTCCATCTTCTATATTGCTCCGCAGTCACAGTTTGGTTTGATCGATGTTACACCAGTTTTAAGCAGTTCAGTATGCGTCACGTCTACCAGTAGCTTGAAATTACGATTTGTATAGTTTGTTTTTGTGGAGAACAGGTTGGTGGTTTTACTAAAAAGGCACTAAAAAAGCGCTTTTTTGATTTTAGTCTGCCAAAAGAAAATTCGTGGTTAACAAGTGAAGGTTTGGAGCTTTCGGTAAATTAGTAGATCCTATGAGAGTCTGAAGCTTTATAGAGTTTATTCAGAGAGGTTGGTAATAAGTATGTTCAGGCTAGCGCCTACTATCTTGGAGTGCGCAGTTCTCTTCTATACCTGACATGCATATTTTGCCGTTGAGAATGCGTATTCTGCGCTCTATATCATAGTACTGTGGGTTTGGAGCCTGAGCTTTTTTCAAAATGGAACCTGTATGTTAACGATCAGTGTAGTGCGACTCAGAAATGTGTGTGACCCTGCGATATATTGATCTTTCGGTGTGCTTTACAGATGATAATCCTTTTGGCCTATCCAACTTGTAGGTGGAAAGCACAGATCTCAGCTTTAGTTGGATTTGATCTTATCAAACTTTATCAAACACAATAATCTTATATCAAATTTAGGGCAGCTTTGCTGATTGGGTTCGTCAGCGACTTTTTTTCCCTTTATATTGGTTTCTAATATTTTTGTTTCTTGCAAATTCAAATTATGTAAACCTTGCACTGCATTCAAATGGTCTAGACAGTACTTCAATTTTGCTAAAAATAAAAAAATTAAGGCTTCCTCCTTTTTCTCTTCTATCTGTTCTCCTTCATATGCAATTTGTTTGGTTATTTCTGTCCTCTCCAGTGCGTGCTGTTTTGCTTCAGAGAATAAGAGAGGTCAGTAAATAGTACTACAAAACATTTGAGTACTCTGTCTACTAAGCTTTATTTTTGTTTTAAATTTTAAATGTTCTACGAAAATATGTGATGTGTCCTATTTACGTTCCTTAGAATGCTTAAATCGGATACTAAATTAAATATAATAAAACATTTTAGGAATATAGAAACTTTCTTTTTGTAGTACTGTTTTAAAGCATTAATATATTATTTAGAAGTAGAACTTTATTTTAATTAGAAAATTTTATTAGACAGTCTGATTTGTTGAAAAATTAGACCCATGTGGAATATTTGTAAATACTTGCTCGTACTATTTTTAATAATAATATCAATGAATTAAAACAGACTTTTACTTTAAAAATAATTTTCGATAAGCGCAATAATTGTGAAGTCCTTATTTTAACATTTAAATCCTATTGTGTCGCCTAAATGGGTCTCTCGTATAGGCACCTTTTTCTGACTCTTCACGAAGATTAATAAAGAAGCTAAAGGAAACATACCACATGTAACAGTAGACAACTACAAAGAAAAATATATATTATTATTATTGAAGCAAATTAAAATATTATGAGGATAATTATTATTATCTAGATCAATAGAAAAATATTTTCTGACTCACTCGTTTTTAAACTCAAATATACTGTGTACGATATAGTAAACACCTCTTAATTACGGCGGAAACTAATTACTGATTACAGTTCAGAAAGATATTTAGAATAAGTCTTTGTGGCATGATTTTTTTTCTTTAAATATCAAAAATATAAAATTTATTTGATACTCTTCTGGCTGATACGTAACGGCGACCTGAAGTTTGTTTACCCATGTGTGGTTGCCGAATCTTCAGCAAAAAATATTATCTGCGTAATTATACTTTAAGGTTCAATATGGAATCCAAAGCATTGCAGAAGAGGGATCCGATTGGCTGCAAGTGAAATCTGGTACGAGGAGATTCGAATTTGACATAGGGTGTGCTGGTCCAGGGGAAATGAACAAATTAGGGTCTAACCAAAGAAAAATCGATTTGAGAAAGTTTTGAAAACCGTCAGTTTCGCTTAGTTCTATGAGTTTTGGTACAAAAAAGATGATTTGGGCTCAATATGCCATGGGCAATCTTTGTAATATGAGTTATATAGTTTTGTTTGCAAGTTGTGTCCTGAAGGAGATTTGACCACAGTGTCCACAGGGCAAAGTGGGCTGACCAGCTGTAAAGTGGAAAATAGGCAGCTGACTTTAAAGAATACATATTGTTATCATCAAGGATAACCTGAAGTCCAGTTTTGGTATCTGATTTAATTTCTCCCAGGATTTGTCCAGCATCGATTGTACGTCTGCCACGGGTCAGGGTTTGATTGTTTTGAAGTTAGTGATTTTGAATTTTATATTCAAATCGGAGGAAAGAAAAACCTTTCTTTCTAAAAAGTCAGTGATTATTCAGTCCCATCTTTTAACCCCTTTTAAGCAAAATAATAATAGGGGCAACTTTAGTCAACAATAAATTATTTAAAAGTGGAAATTCAGTATAAAAGTTCTTATTAAAACGGATTAGTTACGAAAAAGATTATTTTTAATAAAATATTAATAATAATTACGGTAGAATTCAGTTAACATGTATCTCGAGTTATGATATTAAACTCTGGTACTAGGAAAGAGGCTTGGACTGGCCATATGGGAGATCAGGAAGTTATTTTGTACCGGGTAGGTACTTTTTTTTACATCACTTGCACAATATAAATGGTGTATAGTTCATGTTGAAAGTAGCGTCTTTTCTTTCACATGTATCAGGGCTAGATTTACAACGGAGCATTTAGGTCCTTGATTTTGGAAGAATTTAATTAATACTATCCTTACCTAGTGATATTAATCCTATTACAAGCCATAAAGTTCCATTTAATGTATCTCCGTCAATATAGAAATTAATGCTGTTAATTAGTATCGACACCAACAATCCAATAGCTAACATACCACCAAGAACAACCCATGGAATCATCAGATACCAGTTTCTCTAAAATATGAAATAAGTGTTAAATATGTATAAATACGGTTATTGCGAAAACTTGCACAAACTTTAGTAGAATCTTTAAAGTAAAATAAATGTTATTCACATTGAAATAATTCACAAATTTACCCTTAAAAGGTTTTTTTGAACTTTTTTTTATTATCTATTTTTTAACATTGGAGTATATAAAATTTAAGTTAGTTTTACATAATATACAGAAAATGATACAACAAAGTTATTTATCGAAAATCTTGAATCAAACATCTCCAAGACTTCAAGAACAATAAAATTGAGAATAAATGAGATTTATAATATTTCCGATAATGAGCAAGTTACAACGAATGCTACATTTGGCAGATGTTTTTATTGTTCATTTAACGATTTTAACGAAAACAGGAAAACAATATTCAGATGCTATAAATGTAAACAATTCATGTGTCTCAAGCATGGACGTATAAATAAAGATCTTTATTGAGACCATGGACATATCTTTATTTATACGTCCATGGTCTCAAGTATTTGACACCTATTTGTACCAAATTTGTGGAAATTTCGATTCACCAAAGATCTTTTATGATTTTCATAAATTCATGTTAATTCCTACGCTTTTAGAAATATTTAGTTAATTTAGTATTTTAATTCAAGCGGAGTTTTATTTTCAGTTTATTCACCATTGGAAATTATCTGTTCTATTATCTGTCTCTTGGCATACGAATGTACGTTTGTGGGTATCTTTGAAAATACTATAATTTTAGTTTTGGAAACATTTAGATGTTTTGCTTTGACGAACTACCTCATTTATTACATTTTGTAGTTCGTGTGCGTTGGCGTTCTATTAGTACGGTATCATCAGCGTACCTGATGCTGTCCATGCTAATTCTGAGAAAAGTGAAGGACATGAGGCATCATACTTAATATTCAATAGTAATTGCAGTGTAAGGCATATGTATTATAAAATTCAAATCATCGTTTTGTGTTACAAAATTCAAATTCGGTCGTATCAAACCATCATCAATGAAAATCAGTTAGCTTGGAAAAAAAGTTTCTTGGCAAAACAAAATTCAAACAAGACGCAGCAGGAAAATTACGTGATGAATGGACAGAAATTTATAAAATATTGCTCTCTAACAATATTATGTAATCTAGACATACTTTAAGAAATTCCGGAATAAGATACTAGAATAAAAAACTTCTTAAACTAAAGACAATGTTTTAAGATTCTCAAAGTGTTAATGGAAAATTTCATATCTTGCGGTATTACATCCTGACTGTAAATAATATAGTTAAAAAACAATAATAACTTACCTTTATAACTCCAACAAGCATCAATGTAGATAATAGAATCGTCATGCACAGGTTTATGATGATAATTACAAGAACTAAAAAATATAACATGTTAATTTTATTTTCCACCAGATCAAATAAAACATAATATATTAGAAATAAACACCCGCTAATCTACATTTTTCCGTGTCGGTCTTAGCTTTCGTGGAGGAGGAGCTCTGATCTGAGTAGGGGTTCTTCTGTTCTTCACGGAAGACAGACTGGGCGGGGGATGTCCTCAACCTCGACACGGTACGTCCCATATGGCTAATAGGGAAAGTTCCTGCAGATATGCAGGACAGGTACGAATAAGGCATTGCCAAATAAGTACCCGCGGATCAACTGAGGATATGACATTAGGTAGCAGTAATGTCATTACTGGATTAAGGCTATGGGAAGTAAAAATTCTGTAGGCTTAATTCCAGACACTCACAGGGGTCACTCACATTATGAGTTAAGCGGCTGTGATACTGCGACAACAGTAGCGTCTCACCCAGAGTGGGCGGCTGCAAACAGCGTCTGTTCCCAGAGTGGGCGGCTGAAACACACTTACCAACCCGTCTGGCCAGCGTGGTGAGTTCACGGCCAATCTACCCCCCCCCCCCCTTATGGAAGCAAGAGCAGAGGGTGCTAAGAATCCTTGGGTTTTAGAAGATTGTCAGAAACAACGAAAACAAACAACGAAACTGGATATTGCAACTTATAATGTCAGATCACTGATGAGAGACGAAAAGCTAGCCGAACTGGAAGAAGAAGTAAAAAAGATGAAATGGGATATATTAGGATTAGGTAAGATAAAAAGAAAAGGGGAAGCCTGTATGAAGTTGGAATCCGGGAACGTACTATACTATAAAGGAACAGAAGAAGAATCATTCGCTGGTGTCGGTTTTCTTATTTCTAATATTTTCTAATCAGCATGATATTGGACAATATATTGGAATTTCAGAAAGGATCGCAGCTCTAATAATGGACATAAATAAAAATATAAGTTTAAATATCATACAAATTTACGCCCCTACATCATCACATATGGATGAAGAAGTGGAGATATTCTACGAATCATTGACACAAACAGTGAACACCTACACAATAATTATAGGCGACTTCAAATTAAGGAGAAAACTAGAAGGATCAGAAAATAAAATCGGCAAGTTTGGATATGGAACACGAAACGAAAGAGGAGAAACATTGATGAACTATATGGAAACGAACGGTTTATATGCGATGAATACCTTTTTCAATAAAAAAACCACAGAGAAAATGGACGTGAGTCGCGCCGAATGGTTTAACAAAAAATGAGATTGATTACATCCTATCCAAAGAAAAGAATATAGTACAAGACGTTACATGATTTCCGTAAGAAGTGATCACAGAATTGTTAGAGCCAAAATCAAAATTAACGCCACAACAGACGGACAAAAATTTAAACCATCTAAAAAAGAGACAGATACAGAACTTCTTAAAGAACGCAAAGAACAATACATAAACCAGCTAAAAAGAAGTGACATACCACAGCTAAAGGGTTTGCAGCTAGACGAATTAAACGATAAAACAACAACAGAACTACTAGAAGCAGGCTTGAAGATTGCTAATAAACAAGAGCGAAAACAACAAAAAATTAGCGCTAAATCACAAGATATGCTAAAAAAACAACAACTCCTGAATGATAACAAAAGAAATACAGTGGAGTTTACCGAACTGAACAAAACCATAAGAAAACAGATAAAGAAAGATTTAAAGAAATACCAAGAAGATTGCTTTAAGAAAATCATAGAGAGGAGTAAAAGACTGCGTGAAAACCATACTCAAAGACCACAAAAATTAAATGTATGATCAGATATAGTAGTTACTTATTCAATTGGGTCATTTTTTGTCGAAAGAAATTTAACGTCAGATAGTTGGTGTAAATGTTCGGCGATATTTAGATGAGATACTTCCTGGATGATAAATTGGTAGACAAGGTAGAATTGAATGGCCTCCACGTTCACCCGATTTCAATCCTAAAGATTATTTTTATTAGCGATACTTGAAAATTTCAGTTTACAAAACTTAACCAGCAGGTCTTGCAGAGCTAAGGCAACGAATTATCAATGAATCTCGAATAATTTCTATACAATCAAGGAGAAATGTGGTAGACGCCTTCTACCATCGATTAGGGTGCTGTCAACTCACAAATTGAGCACATTTTAAACACTTAATAACGTAACTACTATGTTAAAAAATGTTCTAAACTATCAATTGTTACGTTAATGTATTTGAAAATAGTTGGTATTAAAAAATTATTGAAACAATTTAAGCGTTGCCAGACTTCGGTTTTATGTATTTATGATCTTCCAGATTATATAAAATCATAAGTGTTACATATGGTTGAACTCGTATTGAATAGGAGATTCCAATAATGACTGAATATACAGGGTGATGTATTTGAAAAACCAAAGTTACTAATAATATAAGAAAAACGGCAAATCTGGCAACATTGTAAATATCAAATATGGAATCTCCGTATCCCAAAATAGGTGTACTTCAAATTTTGTACAATTATGATTAGCATTTTACGAGATAATTAGCCGTTTCCAGACTTTTGGGCCACTCTGTATGACAGGAGTATCGTCATTCACTGTAAACAGGATTGTCACTGTCTACAGAATTCAAATCACCGCAACTTCGCACAACGGCTTCACCTGATTTGGATGGTATAATACCAAAACTATTAATAAGATGAGCAGACCCGATTCCAATAACCTGAACACTAATTATGCAAACTTCTTTATCCAGAATTCCTTACCCCCTAGTTGGAAATTAGCATCCAACACCCCTATCTTAAAAAAAGGCAACAAACGCGACTTCAACAATTATCGTCCCAGTAGCTTGCTGTCAGTAGTTGGCAAAGTCATAGAAGCCATTATTTACGACGAAATGACCAAATTCCTTCTCTATGAAAATCTCCATGAACGAAATTCCTGACAAATCGACATTACAAAGTTACAGTTGGCCTCTTTCCCACAAGACAGGTTAGTGGAAAGTGGAGTGCCTCAGGATTTTTTCTGTGGACATCTGCTTTTTAAGGTTTATACCAGCGATGTTCCTTATTATGTTTCAAGTAAAATATCGTTCTACGCGGATGATACAAATATATATACCAATTTAATTACAAACCAGCTAACCCTCCAAATGAACTCTATTTTGACTAGATATTATCCCAGTGGCTACTAACCTTAAACCGGAGAAATGTGCAGTGCTTCGAATTGGTATCGGAAAACGAGCTTCTTGTTAACTTAAAGCGCAGCCTAACTTGGGCCGGCCCTATTACTTCTATTTTTAAACGTATGAACTCCAGATTAAATCTTATTAGGAGGTGCTTTTCGAGAGTTTTAATGCAGTCATTATGTAAATTTTACATTCTTTATGTAAGACCCATTCTTGATTACGCTGGACCAACGTGGTATCCTGATTTGGTTCGAGACAAAACTAGGTTCGAGAATGTTCAAGGAAAAGCCACTCGAATTACTTTGGGACCGAGAAGACCTTCTTATGTAGAAAGACTTAGTATGGCTAACCAACTTTTTTTGAATTTCGCCGACCACGTGTAGACTTAATTACCACATACAAGATATTAAAATTCAATATTGAAAATCTCGCTGAAATGTTTACCATAAATCAAGATAAACGTCTTAGAGGTCACCAGTTTTTGCTCTGCTCCCTCTACGAACGTTTTCAAAATAGACCTTATTGGAATTCAACAGACAAAAATTGTAATTTTGTAATTACTATTGGGTTATTAATGCAGTTTCTTCGTTTTTGGGTATAATAGGGATTTGTCCTTCTACTCTTGCTTATGTCGAATAATAATAATAATAATCTAGCTATATAGAAGAGTGCTTTAAGGAACAAAATTGACCATATAATCATGCAAAAATTCATGGAGGAGAAATATCTGAAACATGCTACGCGGCAAATTATATTACTGTTTGTAACAATTGACAAAACTATCAGTCTATTAAATACACTTTATAAAAATATAAGTAATAGAATAAAAAATACCACAGAAGCCATTATAGGAGTCTAACGATACTACAAGACTAACAAAAAATTAAAATACCACAAAATAGCTTCAGAACAAAACTAAAACTCACGAACAAATCGCACAAATATATCAAATCAACAAGCACATTTACTATCGCTTTTAGACACGTTTAAACTGAAAAATAATAATGGAAAACAGAAATATATAATATAAATGAAGGTAAAACGCTATTAAAAAAGGCGGCAAACTAATTGAAGCATGCAAACCATAATTCAATTAAGAGCTGCTAATATTGATGATGAAGAAAAGAAAATATTAACTGCAACCGCATTCAACGAAGTACAAACCTTGCATTTTATATCATCAAGGTTACATATTCAAAAAGAAAGGTCAAAGGCTGCGAAGATTACAGAAGAATCTGACTCTTCATTCAATTAACTCATGAAATAGAGGGGAAGTCTGCCACTGCTATGCTAAGGTGATAGACATGTGTAGAACGTATTCGATAATTGACTTGAAATTTCAGCTCTAAACTGTCAATTGCTCACAATTATAATTATTTTGTTAATATAATTGTAATAAATGTAGTTTGTAGTAAATGTGTAGTAAATGTAGTTTGTAATATGATTGCTCACAATTATAGTTTATTTTTATGGACGAGAGAGTAATAAGCATAATTTTAACTGGTACCTTCGACCACTCCATGGGCGTGCTCAAGATTAATTGAAAAATTACTTTGAATAATTGTAAAAAATAAATGAATTATTTCAGTGTTATAAAGTGTTATGTGTATGTAAACAAAAGTGACCTCTTTTATCACACACTATATTAGAACTGACTGGCCTACATTAAAAAGGGTTTTAAAAAATTCACATTTTTTTTAATTTTTAAAAATTACAAAAGAGAAAAAGAGTTTTTAAAACCGTCTAAGGTATGTTAAATAGATGAATAAAAATATTAATATAAAACTTACAGCTACTTGTTACAAATCCAAATCAGATTCAGAAGATAAACTTTCAGAACCAAGATTTATAATAACTGGCTCGATCATTTTATCAGTAATATTGTCCAGCTTCCACATTTTTTCCTCTTCTTTAATAGTGTGATTTACTGCCTTTTCCCAGTTTTCAGGTTTTACATTATTTACGGCCTCCAAAAACAACTGTTTAACATCATGAATTTTAAAAGTGGTATTTTTTCTTGAAACTTCACTCTTTATCTGTGCCCATACCAGTTCAATCGAGTTTAATTCACAATGATATGGTGGGGATCTAAGTACTGTCATTCCACGATTTTTGGCAATTTCATCAATTTCGTATTTTTTAAATTTTTCTTTATGAAGGGCACACAACGAATAAAGTTCCTTTTTTATAGATCCGGGATGGTACGTAATATTTTTTGAACTCAGCCAATTCTGCAAGTCTTTTTTTAACCACTTGGTTGTGGGCAGTCCTTCTATAAGTCTGGAGTGATAACTTGCATTATTCATTACTATTACACAGTTCTTAGGAAGAAGATCTATCATTTGTTCGAACCATTCTTGAAAAACATCAGCGTTCATGTCTTCATGGTAGTCACCGGTACGAGTTGATTCAAAAGTTAATAAACCACCTTCAACAAAACCGTCTGAACTGCCAATGTGTACTATTATCAGCCTGCGTCCCTTTCCTGATGGTGGATTTAAACCAGTAGATAAGTTATTTATAAAAGCGTGCCTTTGACTTGTAACAGTTTCATCCTGCCAAAATTTATTTGGTGTATGACCCTCGTTGATCCATGTTTCATCAAGATAAAATATTTTTCTTTTTTGGTTTCTCATTTCCTTTATGGTTCTTAGAAAATGTCTTCTCCATATGACAATATCGCTTCTTTCTAATAAAATAGACTTTCTGGGATTCTTTTTCCAGCGGAAGTCTATTTCTTTTAAAAGTTTCCATAACGTACTTCGACTCATTTCTGGGTAATCCTTATCATCTCTCGAACTGAGACAAGAACTTTATCCAATGTTGGAAATTCTTGTCTAAAGAAGAATTCATGCACTTTCCGTCGAAGTCCTTCTTTAAAATGATATTCTACTTGAAATTTTGGTTTCCCTGGAGCATTACGTGGCATTTGAAAACTACCACATTAACTCTGTAAATCGTAGATTTCCCAACACCAAGTGTACTGCTAACTAACTCAACGGTCTCATCAACACTTTCACATAAACGTTTGTCTGTAAATGATTTAAAACAATTAAATATTAATGTTTTTTCATTAACTGTTAAAGGACCAATTTTTCGGCGTTTACACGACACTTCCAAATTTTTCATAACACTAGTATACACAATAAACTGCACCTTGCAACTGAAGTACCTACTTTTAGTGAACTGTTAAGAATTTTGAATACGCCACTTGGACCTTCCTACAAAATGGAAAAACCCACTATCACATTTTCTGTGGAATAAGTTTAGAAGGTAATTATCTAGTCAATTACTGTCGTAGATTCCTGGAATTAAAGAATTAAATGTTTGATTGTTGAAACCCTTACTTCGTGGAATGCACTCATTTCAGATAACATAAAACGTTTTATTTTATCTAAAGAATTAAACTTTAATTTGCAAATAGGTAGGTACTTATTAAACTTTTATTGGTTATATATAACCAATAAAATAAACATCTTACATTTCTTGCAAATTCATTAGTACCTGTTAACCTCCATCACTCCGACACTGGCAACCTTATTTAGGGATTAGTAACTCTCACAACTATTGTATTCTATTCTGCTAGAACCTTTATACCTGGTGGTCATACTCAATTTAAAATTGTTTTCCTATATACTTCTGTAAACTTGTGGACAAATATCTGTTTTTCATTGAGTCACCCGTATCAACAGTTTAGGGATTTGCATACATAATTTATTGTTTTATTACTCTCGCATATATAAAAATACACTATATGCTAAGGTGATAGACATGTGTAGAACGTATTCGCTAATTGACTTGAAATTTCAGCTCTAAACTGTCAATTGTTCACAATTAGTCTACTCACTTTTGGCACAAAGTAAAGTAAGTTTTAACTGTAGGTATACTCAAATGGTTCGTTTTATTTATAAGTTTTAACATTAGTGCTACGAGCACTGAGCTTGTGAAGCGACTTTCAGTAGAAACCATAAAAAAAATTAGAAAAAAAAATATTATAATCACTGGTCCCGATTTTATTGAATAAATTGAACATAAATACAAACAAATAAATACAGTGCACACGCGCAGTTGATTAAATTGGTTGATAAAAAATTGTCTACCACTTTTGTATAGAAGCACTAAACACATTTGGTTTAAAAAAAATATTAATAAAGAAATCACTCACCTGCCCATTTAGGTAACCAGTCAAATACTATAGTTTTAAATTCCACCCGTACTAAAAGTACTACTATTATTCCGATTAAAGAGAGAATCTAAAAATAAGAAAATAATTATTGCCTTACTTCTTTTTTATAGGGCTTACAAAATGTTAGAAAGTAATGTAATCACAAAAGGGGTATTAATTACAGTAAAATCTAATCATCATGATAAACAAATTTTCTTTTAATTATAGTTTCTTCTTCTTCTTCTTCGTCTAGCCATTCACGTCCACATCTGAACATAAGCCTCTTCAAGTCTTCCTTTCCATTGTTTTTTATTGTACGCTACTTGTAGCCAATTTTTCCCGAAAAATTTCCCCAAAAAAAAATTGTCTACAAAAAATTATAGTTTATTGCTAATTAATCTCCACGGTTGCTTATTGCTTACAAGAGTTCTGCATCAACTCTAGCCCTTTGTGATTGGCTTTCATAAAGATGCGATATAAGTTTTAGATCTGTACTATTTACCATAATTAATCTTTCACAACTATATAACATAGGTTGTCTAAACATTAAAGCTAACATCGGCCCCAGAGACCAAAAATACTTACGATTGCTGCCATTCCTGCTACAAAGGTACCAGTTCTAAGCGAACCACATCCGCAGCAAGAAGATAAAGCGTATTTCGCCATAGTGCTAACTTATAATCTGAAAATAAAATAACAATATTATTATTTTTTATTTTTAATTAAAAATTTTAAATATCATCATAAATCATAAATATATCACAAATAAAGTCAATTGTTGAATATTCCCTTTTTTATCGAATGGACTCTTTTCAAAATATGGTTACATCCATGATAAATAATTTATTATATAAGCAAATAAAATAGAACATATTTGGGAATAGAGCTACGAACAGAAACTACTACTAATACTAAACCAATATAAAGAAAGCAACGACGACGTCATGGCAATCGGCCCGACAGACCCGACTTCTTATCCAGGAAACGGACTTCCCACCCACATAGATATAGTAGTCGCTAGAAACCTAAGACTACAAACGGAAGTACAAACACTAAATGAAGGTACAGCAGACCACAACCCTATTTTACTGGAACTAGGAACTTGGAAGGAAGAAAGTACAATTAAAAGAAGAAGACAATGTGGACAAATTTCAAAAGACTTGTGAGCACTGTAATAAATCTTGTACCAATGATAGACAACAATATAGTCCTAGAGTTAGAAAACATCATCCAGCAAGCAGTCAGAAACAGCACTACAGAAGAGGAACTAGAGATACACACAAAAAGACTCAAAGACCAATAAGAAAAAAAGGATTTGATAAGGGGATAGAATAGAGCAAAGCAGACTGCGAGAATGACAAGAAACCAGGTGGACAAAAATAAATAGAACAAATAGACTAAACAAAGAGGTCAAACAGCACTACAATAACACCGTAGTCAAAGCTGGGAAAACCACATTCGAGACATGGAAGAACAAGCTCAAATATGCAAAATATTTGGGCCAAAGAAAACTCCATTTCTTCAAAGAATATTCAAAAAGGGGTAGAAAACCAATCTCCCCAATATACGGAGAAAATGAAATAGTATATACTCCCTAGGAGGGCGGAATCATTCTGTCTCCGGCTTCTATATAAAATGTAGCTTCTCCAATTTTAAATTTTAAAGTGTTTGTTTGTCTTTGTTTAGTGTATTTGTTATGTCCCAATTTACATTTATGACATTCTGTTACTGCTGGATAGGCCACAACTGACGAAATGCCCCTGAAGATGATCTTGTGATCGAAAGTACTTGGGTAAGATTTGATTAAATACTGTGTTCGATATTTGCCTTGTGTACCATCAAAGTTCATTTATTCGAACATTCAACCTTATATTGAAATGTATTTGTATTGCCATAATACATTCTAACTGCAGCTGTTGCTCTATTATATATATTCCAAAGAAGAGTTGTGTACCTATGAACAATACTGCACTCTGTAAGAGTGTTTAACATGGAGCTATGCTGGACTCAGCCAAACGCTTCCTCAAAGTCTACAGATATTAATATCAATGGCTTGTTGTATTCTGTAACTTTCTCTGTTAAGCATTTTATTACTAGTAGGTCGTCATTCGGTCCAAAGATACTCCTAAATCCGGCCTGCTCTAATGGTTGGTGAAAATCCAGCTTAGGTTGCAGTCTGTTAGTAATTATTCTCATAAAGAGCTTATATAAATGAGATAACAAGCTGATGGGTTTATAGTTACCAATTTCTGTTACATCTCCTTTTTTTGTGAAATATTATCATAATGGCGCTATTCCATTTTTCTGATTGAACTCCTTCAAAGAGACAGGTATTATAAAGGGTTTTGAAAGCTTTTATGATGCATTCGCCTCCTAATTTTAGAATTTCACTTACAATGTCATCTTGTCCAGGTTATTTGCTGTTCTTCATACCTTTCAACGCTGATTCGATTTCCTCTCTTCGGTTATTTCTGGAAGTTCCTCTGATCCTTGATTTTGTATGGCTGGGATTTCCACGTCTAAAATGTGAGTATCTCGACGATATCATGTTCTATAGTACTCTTCGATAATTTTCATAATTTCTTGTTGTTTATATACAGCATGTCCTTGTCTATTTTTTAGCTTATTAATGTTCTTGGTTCCTGTCTTCTTCTGTTTCGTTTTAAAACTTTAAGGCTTTTATTTCGTTCCATGGTATTAGTTATTTCTTTAGTGTTAAAATCCCTTATCTTTCATTTCCCTTCTTTTTTGCATTAGGTTCCTTGTGCCTTCTGTAAGTTTTTCATTTTTCCTTGGTTGCTTAACTTGACAATTCTTCTGTGCCTTCCTTAGAGCGTCCACCAATCTTTCGTCAAGTTGTTAAATATCGGTTTCATCTTGCATGTCATTCTGAAGGTTTCTATCTATGTCTTCCTGGTATGCTTTTGTGTTAGTAATCGTAGTGGACGTAACATTTTTAATCCTTGTTACCACATTTCTTCGTTCTTTCTTTACGTTCAAGACTACCTTCGCTCTAACCATTTTATGGCCACTTTCGGTTGAAAATTGATCTAATACAGTTACGTCTTGCACAGTGTCTTTTTTGTTAGTAAAAATAAAGTCAATTTCGTTCTTGTTCAAGCCATTTGGTGATTGCCAAATCCACTTTCTTTAGGAGCTTTTTTTAAAGTAGGTGTTCATGACATATAGCTTGTGTTGCAGAAGAAATTTTCTAAGAGTTGGACCCCTTTCGTTTCTGTCGCCATATCCGTGAGGTCCCGTACAAACTTGGAATCATCCTGCTTGTGGCCTATTTATTATTTAGTAGAATACGAGACTAATCTCTTCGTATACGAGCAAACGTAGTTTCCGAGTTCGTTTACGATAAGCCCTGCACACACTAGTCTAGTTAAAATTTTGTTCGATGTCTATCGATATTTTTCAATGTTGAAAAATTCGTTCAACAAGTGTTTGTTCGATGTCTATCGATATCTTTCAATACAAGTTGAAGTTTTATTTGGTTGTATTTGGGAGTCAGGGGTCAAATCAATGAAATCACATATAAAAAGAGTTTTCTCCAATTCTTTACTGACTTATGAAGATTTTCAAACAATTCTTGTTTAAATAGAAGAAATACTAAAATCTAGACCTCTTTCCCCTCTTTCCAATGATCCTTCCGATTTGAATCAGCTAACATCTTCTCACGTCTTAATTGACCGACCAATCAACTCCTGATGTCGACATATCCAATGAAAGGGAACTTCGTCTACAGTTACACGAAAGGCTCCAGTTCCTTCAGATTCACCAAATGGAAGGTGAATCAAACTTCAGGATGAATACCTTAGTTCTCATCAAAGACAGGCAGCTACCATCAAAGAATTGGCTTCTTGGTCGAGTACGAGATCTTCGCCCTGGAAATGTTGGCGTTACTAGGGTTGTGTCTGTGCAGACTTCCAATGGTGTTCTTTGAAGGGCAGTGTCAAATATATGTCCCCTTTCGGTTGAAACAGACAAATAATGTGAAAGTACATTTTTAAATAAACTCTATTTTGGCTTATGTATATATATTTCACCTTATGTATGTATATTTCACCTTATGTATGTATTTCTTTTTTGTTATAATGTAAATTGTTTTGAAAGTTACCCCTTTCAAGGTTGGGGGCATGTTTGGACTTCAAATTACACGCCAATCAGCGCAAAATTGTTGAACGACAACATTGTAAATTTTTCCTTTCAAGTTGACAAACACGTTTTTCATTATGTCAAAGTTTTAATTAATTTATTCGAGTTTATTCAACAAGAAGTTCATAACCAGCGCAAATATACAGGCCAACCATCATGGTTTCTTCTAATCCCTTCATGGTTTAGAAAATATTTTCATACGTTTTTAATACTGAGATGTTTGTTTGAAGTTCTATGATTGTTATTATTTACGTACGAAGAAATTAGTAAAAAAAAACTATTTAAATTTTTATCCACAGTACTAATTGCCACCCACAATACTCACGACCATTGCTACATTGATTGCACGGTCATGACTAAACCATATGATGGCTTCTCAGAAGAAATGCACTCACGTCATTTTACAGTTTCAAGCAAAGAACCATTTGTACGTTTATGGTTATGACAACTTTTTGAGTCACAATCTCATCATTAAAACCAGATATGTAAGTTTACATTCGAGGAAGAGCAAGCAGGCCATTAATACGATTTATGGGAACACGCGAAGAATAACAAAATGTGTGGACTGTATGGCATAGAATGTATTTTATAAGCTTATTTTTATTAATACATCTGATATTGCTGTGTTTAAAGAAGTTAAGGTAAACAATTTGATGCTTAAATGAGTTTACGCAAACAAATGTTTGTGTTAAATTTATAAAAGTAAACAAAATTATTGAAAAACCAATATTTTGTTAATACTGATAAATTAAGTACATATACATAAATACATATATACATACATATACACGAATATATTGTAAAAAGTGTATGATAAGTGTTTTAAAGACAATTAAAGAGGTAGATTCCAAAAGGTCTTAAGTCAAAAAAGTTATTTTTTCAGGAATTTTTTCTATGTTTAAGAATATAATTAAATCGGTTATTTCGAAAAGGCTACAACTCCAGAAATGTTAATTTTACAGAAAACGAAAAAAAAAAACGTTTCATTTTGGTATTAATGAAGACATCTTTCTCTTTGCGGAGTAAAGTCTCAAAATGTGATGCATGACAAATCCAACATAAAAAGGACATAGATACACTGTAAAAAATAATTTAGTTTTTGGAGTTGTGGCCTTTTCCAAACAAACACTGACGATTTTATGATTAATAATGAAAAACTTATCTGTTAGGCCAAGGAGTGGGGTGTCAACTTTGTAAAAATGGCGTGCACCCTATTCTTAATGCTATGGCATGCTCGACGAGCCATACAGTGTGTAGTCAACACCCCGAGGTATGAGCGGGAACACAAAGTGAATTAATACTCATACGCTTATGAAACGCACCTGGCGGATCATAATGGCCTTCACATTTTACTCTTTTTTAACTTGGCTTGAGTGAAATGTCTTTAATCTTTCCTACAGCCTCTCTTGGCTAACTCTTGTTTCTTCCGACCCCGAATGGCAATTAGGTTTCCGAAGGCAAAAGGGTCACTATATTTCCTTCTAGTACAACTCTAAAACTCGCCAACACGCTTGGCCAGCG